CAGATCTACAGCTACGCTAACCCCAAGGCGTTTTCACTCACAATTTGAATCCTTTCAGCCAAAGAAAACACCATAGGTTGGTTTGATTTCACTTTGTTCAGCTGCCAGACCAATTAGCCCTTCCTCTTTGCTCGTGAAGCCAACGTGCTGCAGCACGGCAACCAGACGACTGCTCTCGCACGTATCAAAGCGTTCACAACTCTAATTGTGCCTACATCCCACTAGCAGCTCAGCAGTCTGAAGCTTGGCTCACAAACAATACGGCAGTAATTGACAATAAAGTGAGGAAAATGGTTCATCCCTAAATGGACCAGATCTGCAAACACAGACCCAAAACAGTAAAATTCAATAAAACTATCTGTTGAGGCTAATTACCTCTGCTGAGGTGTCAGGGACACCATCTAATCTGTTTCTGCAAGTGACTTAGAGGCTCTGGGTGGGTGATTGAGGCCTTTAGGTGATAGTCTGGTGTTGAGAAGGGCAGCAAAGAAGCCTTTCTCAACACTGGAAATGATTTTACAAGGTTGAATAACACCACTTAAGATCTTGAAGAGATTACCTCTCTCTAGTTATGTCATTGTTTAAAAATTCAGAAAAAGGCGTATAAACTCTTACCAGAGGGAGGTGGTCAGAGGGACCGACGGCACCAAATGGCAGCCTCGCCTCTGTCAGACCTCCCCAGGGCGGCTGTGGCTACAAGTAGCTTACCATCACTAGCAGTGTGTGAATGTGAGAGTGTGTGAAAGCGTCTTTGTGGGTCTTGAAAAGCGCTATATAAGTTCAATGCATTATTATTATTATTATTATTACCAGATCGTGTAATTTAAGTGATGAACACAGAGGTCATATTTTCAGGTCAATAATCAGTCATGTAAAAAAATTCGAACTGAGGTACAAGAAATGCATTATTTAAATCTGGGATCTGGGAACAGCATCATGCCACTTCATGTGACAATGCTACCCCATCGGCTCTCTCAGTTAACCACACTTTCTCCCACACTTCTCGTGCATCTGGCCGAGGTGGTGGAACGGGCATGCTAATTTCCAACAAATGGATATACAATCAGTTGCTACCCATCACTAAATACAACTCCTTTGAATACCATGCCATCCAGGTAACTGTACTGAAAAAATTCTTTTTGGTTGTCATATATCGCCAACCAGGTCAACTCGTAGACTTTCTTGATGAACTCGACACTCTGCTCTCCTCCATTCCTGAGCACGACTGTCCCACAATGGTCCTTGGAGACATGAATATTCACCTGGACAATCCCAGCTCATCAGGCTTCCTGTCACTAATGTCATCATTTGATCTAAAACTAGTACAAAGTCCTCTAACTCACAAAGCTGGAAAAGCACTTGGCCTCATTTTCACCAGAAACTGTGCCGTAGACACAATCTCTGTCACACCGCTGCATCTTTCCGATCATTACTTCATCCGTTTCAGCACGACTCTACAAGGGAGGTCCACTGCTTCCTCCCCAGTGGTCTCATTCCGCCGCAACCTCCGCAATCTGGCACCCAACCACTTCTCCTCTCTTGTTGCCTCCACTCTTCCATCTCCCAGCACATTCTCTGCTTATGAAGTGAATGATGCCACTGAGTCACTCTGCTCCGCACTCTGCTCTTGTCTTAACAGCTTGTGCCCTTTAGCCACTAGACCTGCTAGATCCTCTCAGTCGCACCCTTGGCTAAATGATACCCTCCGGTCTCTACGCACCAATCTTAGAGCTGCGGAACGGAAATTATGCAAAACAAAAGATCCTGGTGATCAATTGAAATTTCATGAATTGCTGTCCTCATTCTCTGCCAGCATCACTGATGCAAAGAAAGCTTTCTACACTGACAAAATTCTCAGCTCTACTGACTCTCAGAAACTATTTTCAACATTCAAAACTCTGCTCAACCCTCCATCTCCACCTCCAACCAACAATCTATCAGCTGACACCTTTGCCTCATTCTTCACTGACAAAGTGGCAGCTATGAGCAAACAGTTTACTCAACTGGCCACTCCTGAACATTCACTACCTCAAACTCCTTCTAGCCCAACCATCTCAAGCCCTACTGCTTCACTTTCCTCTTTTTCCCCTCTCACTGAGAACTGTGTGTCCAAGCTTCTCACGTGCAGCCGCCCTACTACATGCCCACTTGGCCCCATTCCGACTAAGCTGCTCCAAGCTATTGCTCCTACAGTAGCCGCAGCAGTCACACATGTGATCTATGCTTCACTGACATCCAGTACATTTCCCACCTCTCTCAAGCATGCTCAGGTTAAACTGCTGCTAAAAAAAACATCTCTTCCTCCTAATCATGTGGAGAACTACCGACCTATCTCTCTCCTCCCTTTTCTGTCCAAAGTCATTGAAAAGGTGGCTTTCAAGCAGATCACAGAATACCTCTCACAAAACTGTCTGCTTGACCCTTACCAATCTGGGTTCAAAAAAGGCCACTCCACTGAAACTGCTCTGTTAGCAGTGACTGAATCCTTAAAAGAAGCTAGAGCGACAGGCAAATCCTCAGTGCTTATCCTGCTCGACTTATCGGCTGCATTTGACACTGTCAACCATGGCTTCCTTTTGCCCACACTCTCTAGCATGGGCATCACAGAGAAAGCACACGCCTGGTTTGAATCGTACCTCACAGGACGATCATTCAGTGTATCTTGGCTTGGACAATTCTCTACCGTGCACCATCTTGCCACATGAGTCCCCCAGGGCTCTGTACTAGGACCTCTTCTCTTTTCCATATACACCACCTCAATGGGTGAGATCATTCGATCACATGGCTTCTCCTACCACTGCAATGCAGACGACTCCCAGCTCTATCTGTCATTTCCACCGGACGACCACACTGTCTCTGCACGAATATCAAACTGTCTCTCTGACATATCAAAATGGATGAAATCCCACCATCTCCAACTCAACTTCTCTAAAACTGAACTACTTGTCATCCCAGCAAAACCATCCATACAGCACAATATCTTAATCCAAAATGACTTCCTATCTCCTTCAAAGGCAGTTCGAAATCTGGGTGTTGTGATTGATGAACACCTGACCTTTAAAGATCATATTGCCTCTGTTGCTCGTTCATGCCGCTTTGCGCTGTATAACATACGAAAGATCAGACCATACCTAACACAACATGCCAACCAGCTCCTGGTGCAATCTACTGTCATCTCCCGCCTCGACTACTGCAATACCCTTCTAACTGGTCTTCCAGCCTGTACTTCTCCCGCTCTGAACTTGAGACTGTTCTCCACACCTTCATCTCCTCATGCTTAGACTACTGTAACTCTCTTTTCACGTGTCTGAGCAGAACCTCCCTGAACCGTCTACAGGTGGTTCAGAACGCCTGTGCTCGGCTTCTGATCAAGTCCTCCAAACACACCCACATCACCCCGCTTCTCCTCCAGCTTCACTGGCTGCCAGTCAACTTCAGGGTTCATTTCAAGATCCTGGTTCTGGTCTATAGGGCCTTACATGGACAAGCACCATCTTACATTGGTGATCTTCTTAGTCCCTACACCCCCAGCAGGTCTCTGAGGTCCAGTGATCAAAGCCTACTGGTTGTGCAGCACCAGGCTAAAGACCAAAGGTGACAGATCATTTGCTGCTGTGGCCCCCGGACTCTGGACCTCTCTCCCCCTGAGTCTGAGATCAGTGGACTCAGTGGTCTCCTTCAAAAAGCAGCTGAAGACTCACTTGTTCAAGCTGGCTTTTGTATGACCTTCTTCACCACTCTCTCTTCTGCTCTCCCCACCTATTCCACCTTCCTCAGGATCCAGTGATTTCCCTCTTTCCTGTTCATTTTCTCTCTTTCGTAACATTTTTTCTTTTAAATCCCAATTGCCTATTTTTACTCATTTTAAATATATTTTAAACATTTTCTAAATGTTTTTTTATATTTTTACATTTTTTTTTTTGTTTTTGTGAAGCGCCTCGTGATTTTTATCTTGAGAGGCGCTATAGAAATGATTTTTTCATATTCTTCTACTGTGAGACCTCTTCAAAAGGTCCAGAACGCAGCGGCGCGTCTGGTCTTCAATCAGCTAAAAAGAGCACACGTCACCCCTCTGTTCATTGAGCTCCACTGGCTACCGCTAGCAGCACGCATCAAATTCAAATTGCTAACACTAGCATACAAAGTCCGAGATGGTACGGCTCCCATCTACCTGAATCCTCTTGCAAAGGTTTACGTCTCGGCCCGGCCGCTCCGGTCATCACAGGATTGTCTACTCGCAGTGCCTACACCACGCTCAGGACAATCCAGACTCTTCTCATGCATCGTTTCACAAACGTGGAATGACCTACCAAGCACTACCAGAACAGCGGCTTCCTTTTCAATTTTCAAGAAACTCCTGAAGACCCTGCTCTTCAGAGAGCATCTTCTTAACTAGCACCCTCCCCACACCCGTCCCCTTCTCTACTGTCCACTCCTTGCTCCCTCCTCTCCATGATTGATGTCAAGTTGTTGTTGTTGTTAGCCTCAAGGGCAACATGCTGATTATCACTTATAAGTCCCTTTGGACAAAAGCGTCTGCTAAATACATAAACATAAACTTCAGATCATAGCTGTTACAGGTGTGTGTGTGTGTGTGTGTCTGTGTGTGTGTGTGTGTGTGTGTGTGTGTGTGTGTGTGTGTGTGTGTGTGTGTGTGTGTGTGTGTGTGTGTGTGTGTGTGTGTCTGTGTGTGTCTGTGTGTGTCTGTGTGTGTGTGTGTGTGTGTGTGTGTGTGTGTGTGTGTGTGTGTGTGTGTGTGTGTGTGTGTGTGTGTGTGTGTGTGTGTGTGTGTGTGTGCCCTGCATTAAACATTCTGCTATGTGTTGGTATGTTGATGTGCAAGGCTATATTTGGGTCACATGGTGGTCCTGGTGTGCAGGCGACACCAGGAAGGTCCATCCAGATGGCTGAAGGGGCTGTCGACCTCCACATTAATTACATGAAAGGGTCCTGTGGTGAGGCCAGGCTCTAACTCCCCTTTGTTCTTCTATTTTCATCAGGTGGTGAGCCAACAAGAAGCCTTCTGAGCAAACTAAAGAAGATGCTCTCCGTCCTTTTATCGTCCTCTTGACTCCTGCTGCTCTTACACGCTCGTGGAGGCCACGCCAAACTGAAACGAGGGAGCGTCTTGCCCCTCCTCAAACTGCCAGTGAGGAAGTGCTCTGCTGTGTGCTGAAATCATCCCTCCAAACGACGGAGGTTTCATCACCTCCGTCTGCGAGGATCCACTGAACCTTCCAGGGGGGATTTCGTACCCCTGGGAGTCCTAATGCCATACTACTGAATGCTGACCCTGAACCCGCCCTGCCTGCCTGCCTGCTTGCCCAGCCGTATGTCTCATATGTGTCTGTCTGTGTCTTTCATTTGGCTGTCAACCTGCACCAAGTGCCATAGCCTCATGACATTCCTTCGGACTTTGCACTGAGTTCACCACTGGCTATGTTTACATGCACGTAACAGTTCTGGGATCATCAAGCTGTGTGTGTGTGCATCTTTTAGATTCTAATGTTTTGCAGAAATTATCCCACCCAGACTTTTTTTTAGTTTAGACCAATGAAAAGTGTTAACCGTCATCTGTTGTGGAAAGAGGGATGCAACAGGTGCTTAAATGAACAAAAACACAATCTGTTTTGGACCTTGACCACAGGATCAGTGTTGCAACGATCCAGTCATGCTGCAGTGACACCGTACTCCCATGCAGGAATCTGCAACTGCTAAAATGCACAGAGCTGCAGCTTCCTGCACTTTCTTAGGAGTCGTAGAGCTACAGCAGTACTGGAATGTGATTTGATTTTTGCAATGCTTGGTGGTCCATCTTTACAGAAGCACTTCCCATATTGTGACAACTGTCAGATACACCTTAATCACAGTATTAACAAAAAAAATGTTTTGATTTATTTGACGGGTGCAGTATTCTTCTTTTTTAGCTCTGCTGTGCATGTAAACATAGCGGTCAACCAAGAGCCAAAAACAGTGTTACAGTTCAAAGGTCAGTGAGTCAGCCTTAAGAACAGGAACTTTCACATCCACAGATGTTTAACCCAGATTTATGAATTCTGCTTGATGTTTTTTAGCACTTAAACCAGTGCAGGAGTGACGAATCTGCGCGATTTCTGCACATTTTGTTACTTTTGATTTTTGTGTGTGAGTATGTAATGTCAAATTTAATATTGAGCTAGGATTGTTTTCGAGGAGTGATGATGCAATTCGGGTGATTTAAAGCAGACACTGGATTTTATGCTTTGTAATTTATTATATATGTGCTCATATATGCTTTAATCCTTCCACCCCCTCCAAAACAACATGGATTGCTCCTCTCTTGGCTTGAAACGAAAGACAGCTGTGTGGGGAAACCAACCATTACATATCCACACTGCCTTATCAGGTAGTTGGGTCTCCCTTCATACTCTCTGATGGTTGGTTTTGAATTTCTGGACACAAAAAACACCCACACAGAGACGGGGGTCACTTTTAATGATGGATTCCAGTCCAGTCCTCGAGGGTCACAATAACATGCATTGTGAAGAGAGAGAGAGGACACCCCTCCTTCATGCAGTGTAGATATCTGATTCCAGGATTTGGTGAAAGGTCCTTTGAAAGGAGCTGGAGACGCAGTCATCACTTTATTAGTGATTGGAATCAAAACCCAGGAAAGGAGCCGGAAAGTTTTCAGCCTTAGGACGGACAGGAGAGACTCTTATCAATGATAAGGAGTCTGTCTTTTTGGCGGAAGCACATAATAACAACAAGCTGCGTAACAGTCCAATTCAATATTAGAAATAACAAATTAGTTTTATATATATATATATATATATATATATATATATATATATATATATATATATATATATAACTCAATGCATTATTTTGGGGAGAATAGTTTTTTTTATTTCTACAAATTTAGAGAAATCTGGAGTTTAAAGCAACACATAAGACGTTTTCTGCTTCTCCCTCCTACTGGTGGAAAGCAGAATTACAACTGTCGTAAACAACCCTGCTGTAGCTAGCGCTAAGAATGAGCTAAGGCTAACACAAGTAAACTGATACTAAATAAGCCTCGAAGTAAAATGATCCACACCGTTGGACAAAAAAATATTATTACTTACAAGTTAAATTGCAACAAAGCCAGGTCACCATCAGTCTGTGATTTCATAGCCTCCTTTAGCTCACTGAATTGTGTGCAGGCTGCGCCGATGTTCACTCTGGTTTTAAGTTACTCTCTTACTTTTACCTCCAGGCTCTGCCATGATGGCAACAAAAAGAAAACCTATTTTTGTTCTTCCTGTGCTTTTTTGTTGACAGTCATCAAACTGAAAAAGCTAACTGCTAGCCTGTATATTAGTTACAGGCACAGCAAACAGCTGTTGTCTTAAAGGAATTAGAAACCTCCCACTGGTGTTCCTACCCAAACCACAAAACTATTAGAAGCTGTTTCTGGTAATCAGAGGGCTACAGAGTGCTATTCGGTGTAAGGTTGCTCAATTTTACGGCTCAAGAACCACTGAAACCAGTTTGAAAGCAATATTTTAAAGCATTTAAAAATATTTAGTGTTGCTTTAAGGGTGGAATCAGCTGAGAACTTCTGCATACATGTTTTTCTTTTTTAAAAAAGCACTTTTTTCAAACCCCTAAGACATGATCTGAGGAGGATTGTTGACTGACCCCAGCAGAGGAGTGTGTTACGGTGCATCTTGTAGCAGTGGTGTGTTAGCGTGACTCACTGAGGGTGTGTGGGCTGTGTCCTTAAAGCCAGACCGTTAGCTTTAGCTTGTATCCAGCTGCATGGAGCTCTCTGAATGTGATCGCGTCCAACCCGATGTGTTTACACACCTTCATCTTAAAGAACTAAGCTTCTTACCCTCCATTTGTTGATTTTTCTTGTCTTTTACCAAATGAGGTTTTTATTAACTACAGTAGATATATATATATATATAAATATACATATAAATAGCTATATCATGCAGTATCTTTAATATTATTGTAAATGATGGTTTCGATGCAATGTATTTATTATTTGTTACCATAATGAAGAATTTTCTATAAAGGGAAGTTTATAATGTTGAAATATACTACATTTTATTGTGTCATCGGGTTTTTAAATGCCTAGTAGTTGGTTTTGTATCAGAATTAATCAACACATTACCTTTTACTTATCACTAAGATTCATCTCGTTTACTGTGACTACAAATTTGACTTCTCACACACAAAAAGAGAAGTGCAATGTGATGTTTTTAGGATGCAATTCTTTTGTTTTTGGTTTTTTTCCTCTGCTTTTGTGAATTTATATTCTTTTAGAATAACCAGAAGAAAAAAATTATTTTTGCACACTTATTGTTCAGGGATTTGTTTGAACCACAGCCTCTGTCGCAGACGTTTGTCACTTCACGCACATTTTAAGGCGTTGAAGTCAAAGAAGCTGGCTCTGGTCAGATGGGTCATGAACAAAAGTTTCACTTTGCCAAAAACAGAGTTGATTCTGGCGCCTATCCTGTTGCGTTGAGTTCTTCTACGTAAATGATCCCCGAGGTGATGTCCTGACAGCGTGCTATTTCTTGTCATACAAGAATCTTGTATAAAGAAACATATTTCTGATGTTGAGCAGAAAACAGAGGCTATTTTTTATTTTTAGTCAGTAAAAAGAAGCTTCAGAGAAATCAAAGTAATATAGTAAAACTGAATTGTGACGCCACTTTGTCAAGGGAAGGGGGTGTCAAATTAAAATGTACATGTCTGTAAATCAAATAAACCTATTTAATCACCCCATGCTGCTGTTCTATGTTTTTCTTTGTTAGGGAAAAACCCCTGTGTTGATATTTTAGCTGAGAGAAGAAGCAGACGACAGTCGGCATCTGCAGAAACAAGAAATACCGAGGAGCCAAAGCATCTACAGACTGTTGATTAGAGTTGTGCAGATTCATAAATGCATGAATGAAACTGCATCCAGTGAGGCTCAAATTTCACATCCCATAATGTCTATAGCATTTATACAAGTTCTGCTGCTCCTCGTGGATGCATTGATGAGTAAAAGTATAATTTATGTGTAGAAAAGTTAAATTACTTTGGAGAACATGGTCAGATGCACAAAATATGGTTTAAAAATTTGCTTCATCTTTTTTCAATTTTACCCATATTTTGTATCTAATATTTTATTTCATTTTTGTTTAAAAGTTATTTTTACATTTTTCATCCTGTTTGTGAAGCACCTTGTGGTTTTTATTTTTAAAGACACAAAAAAAAGTTTCTTCCATCAATCTGTAAACAAAAAAATCTTAACATTTTTTTTATTTTGCAGCCATGTTAAAAATACACTTGGCTGTTTTGTTTGCTTTTAGCGCCCCCTAGTGCCTGTTATTATCTGGTTAAACTGAAAATCCTCGCTGTGCGTTCGTCTTTTTAATGCTTAGTTTAATTGAACTGCTGAAATGTCTCCCCAGCTTTCATTATTGTCTAAAGGAGCCGTTCATCACTAAATGAAACAAGTCCGCTATGTTCGTGATCTAAAACGTGCAGGAAGCAGACTGCAGCCCTCCACACTTAAGTTGCAAGCGAGATATTCTGGCCACAGGGGGCTGTAGGGGTCTGAGGGACATTTCAATAACCCTGTAAAGGGTCATTTTAGCACATACTGGCTCAAGAAAATTATTTCAAAATATTAAGAAGTTGCATAGTATCCCTTTAATAACAATCAGAAGTAAAAATCAGGCAACAAATCCATCTTTAGTTTTGGATTTCTTCTGGTTCTTTAATGAGGTTTTAAACTTTGTGATTAAAACTTTTCAGGCGTTAATTCACCTTATTGTAAAATTTTGCTAAGGCATCTTTCAGCTCAGCTGCAGCAAAGATCCACAAGCATGAAAAAAACCCACTTTTGGGAACTTGATCCCCTTTAGCTGCTCCGGCACTCATCTTGGCTTACAAAGACTCGATTTGTGTCTCAGTGAAAGAAGGATGGAGCTGATCCGTGAATGAACTGCTTTATTGTTCAGGTTCAGTCAGACAGACCTGTGTGCGGCTCGGTTTGTGAAGCAATCTTGTCGTCTCCAGAGTGGTTTACAGGCACACTGGCAACATCACAGACAGGCTTCAATCCATGCTAGTGGATGCCAAAGAAAAAAACCTAATATTTGCCTTCACAGGAGGCTTGGAAGTCCTCAATTAAAGTACCTTTCTGTGCTGACGTTCATTAGAGAGAGCTTTTACGTGATGATGCACCTAATAGAGCTAATGGGCGTGTGTGTGACAGGTCTGCACAAATACACAGAGTCTTCTGTGCACCTAAAACATTCATTGGCTTGCATTTTAACAAGCCCCAGCATCTGACACATCTTCAGACCGAAGCAGGAAAATCCTACAGGAGCTCAAAGTGAAGCAAAGGCCCCGAGTCGGACAAATATGTCCCCGAGCGTCAGATGCTCCCGTCTAAAAGTCAACACACCTTGTGCTGCAGCAGGCAGGAAACATCGGGGCGTCGACAGGAAATGGGGGAGCCGTTCGAGCAAACACTGGAATTTCCAATTGCACTTTGCCTCTTCAAATCACAGAGGGCAGACTTTGTAGAATACGCAGGGCGAATTAGGTACAAAATAATACCCGCTGGAGGATGTGAGGCTTCAAAATGTCAGTTTGCTCTAAGTTTAAAAACAGCTCTGTTCAGGTCATGGCTCTTTTTTTAATGTCTACGTGCAACATGATGTCCTGCTGTTTCAGAATTTATTAAGCTTCAAAGGACAAAACAAGGGGGTTTGAGGTCATATTAAAAGTTTATTTCAGTCACATCAACAACAGCTGATACAATAAAATAACCACCTTTGATCTAACTCAGTCTGATTCCCGCCACTTAAAACTGTGAGATTTATGTTGGTGCAATCGAGTTTAATGACCAAATGTTAAATTAACAGCCCACCGAGAGCCCTGACTTACACTGTTATAAAGGATCTCTAAGATAAATGATGTTTGAATATCCTAATTGATCCCTTTAATCTCTGAGAAAACCTGGATCAGAACAAACAGCGAATAAAGAGAGAAATGGCAGCTATTTCCAACAGAACAGAAAGTTCATAGAGAAACACATAAAATCACACCTTCACTGTGAATCTCTCACCTCCACAGGCACCCACCAGCTTTTCCATCCCACCTCATCCTGATGAAACACTGCTACAGTCACAAAAACTAGAGGAAACATTACACAAGCTACATTCATGTGGAGTAAATCATTATTTGAGTTCAGTTTCAGTGGCCATACTCTGGCCTGATTACAGCCAGACCTGTCTGACATCACCTGGGCTAAAAGCAATACATCACAACCTGTTCTATAGAAGCAAAAGGGCAAAATATCCTAGGAAACACGTAAAAGTTGGATATCTTCTTGCAGAATTTGAACCTCATAACATTCTTTTTCATTTTTCTACAATTTGTCATCAGCAATGTGTGCTTTAAAGACCCACAGTTGTCACGCATTGTCCCCCCTGTTTGACCTATCCCTGTAGAGACCAGTGAGCTGCAGCTGTGGCTGTGCTCAGGAACTATTTGGTGGTTTAACCACCAAATCCAACCCCCTTAAAGCTGCGTGTCAAGCAGGGAGGCATTGGGTCCAATTTTTATAGTCTTTGGTTTGACCCGACAGGGATTTCAACTCCAATCTTCCAGTCCCAGGGCGGACACTCAACTACTTGGCCACTGAGCTGGTGCATGGAGCACTCTGAGAAGACAAACTGATGTAAACAATGTGCTCACCATCATGTAACACTTTTTTTTTCACCAACAGAAATAAACTTGAGAAGCAGACAACACCAGGCTGAAAATGACTGCAGGTTGCATGCTCACTTTTATTACAAGAGTCGAAAATGAAACAAGCACAATTAAACTTGAAACAGCTTTCACCTTTTGGGAAATCATCGATTAATGGCTGGAGTCTGCTCTGCAGCTTTTTCGTTGCTATTTAAGAGACATTTTCAGATTAGCTTTAGCTACAGATTAAAAGCCTTATCATTGTGATCTTTAGTGTCCAATCCTAGTCCCCGAGAACCACAACCCCTCATTTTATAGATTTTTCCTGCTTCGGCACACCTGACTCAAACAAATAAAATTTGATCAGACTTCTGCAGAACTTAAGGATATCTTGAATTCAGCTATTTAATCAGGGGTGGTTGTACAGGATAGTGGCAACCAATATTAACCTTGCTGATGATTATCTATTGGAATCAACACGATTCAAGATGGCTGCCTTCGCTAACTGACATTAGCAAACAGAAAAATATCTTTGAGTCACTTTCACAGACAATTCGCTGGAGTTCATTGCTGGATTATCAGCATCTCTCACACAAAATACTCAAGTTGTGCATTCCTTCAAATACGTCTTACTTATTAATATGTTGAGTGAAGAACAGAAGTTGCAAGGACAGATCCCTGAGGAACACCATGTGAAAGTTCATTTTCCTGGGAGAGTAAAGGGTAAAAGGTCATTCTCCTAAAGGAGAACCTGAAAACTGAAAACCAAAATAAACAAAAGAAAAACAAACACAAAGTTAGGAAAGAAACGACAAAACATTATCACAAAATTATAATGACTTCTAAATTAATCAGAAAAAATAAAAACTCCAAAACATGGGATTTTATTTCTGAGTAAACGTTAATGGATTAGGTATATTTTACCCAAATTGACCAACTGTGAGATGTTCTTTCACTTCTTCCTCTCATCTGAGAGAATTGCTTCTTTGTGCATTGTTGCTTTCTAATGGTCCATCAGAATCGAGGAGCCAAATAACCTTGAGTCGTCTGCATAAATGCATATCATTAAAGAGGCTGACACATGTTCCAGAGGACGTAGATGTCCTCTGACTGTCTGTCCATGTGAAATGAATACAAGATATGCTCCATGCTAGCAATGTCAGCTAAAGAGCCGAGTTTAAAGATGTAAGAAGACAAGTATGGACCGCATCTGCTACAGCTGCGGCCACAATAAGGTCAGATACAATCATCATACCCCGTTGGGCCTTTGGGCAGTGGCTGCATCTCAAACTGCACCACTGAGATTTACAATGTGAGATGGGATTAATTAGATTTGCATGCTCACTAACGAGGATCTAATGTAAATTGACAGAAATGCAGTGTTAACACAATGTACTTGTTATGTGCCACAGTGGGATTTGTGTCACGGGTGAGAAGAGCTGAGAGTCCCACAGTTTTCTGAATTAAACATGAGTCAAACTGAGTGGGTTGAATGATGTTGGTTGGTCTTAGTTGCTATTTTAGCTCAGATGTTTCCATATTTAGAACAGGTGTAGAAAAGTATTGCGGGAACTCTGCAGCTTCGTCGAGCATTTACTCGGTGAGATGCACGTGTGTGTCTCACGTGTGAAGCTGAAGCATCGGCGTGAATGATAGCAAAGTTAGTGAATGGAAAGAGCTTTGTGAATGCAAGCTGAAGGGTAGGTAAAATGATGTATGTGCACACTGCACAAACACATACAGGTAAGTTAGAGCAGGTGTGTGCAGCAGAGAGGCCTGATTTGTCAATCCACACCCCTTCAAACACCCACATCATGCAAATTGTTCTCTATAGAAACGGATCAAGGGAAAGAATTTTAGTTTCTCACATGAAATTTTAATATTATTGAATAAAAAATTATTTTCCTTTGGCTTCTTCAAATCAAAACTTTAACACATTTATTGTTACGCTACATATTGTTATGCTTGGTGTGTCTCCTGCGACCTGATGCTGGCATTTGTAATTTGACTATGGCCAGCAAAGAGCTCCAGAGTTGTTTGAAGAACTAAAGCCAGTAACTAGAGGGACCCCAAAGTTATTTCTTGTACCCCTAAGAAGCCACGACATTTTGTTGTTTTACTCTAATATGAGCAAAGAAGTCTAGAGACTAACGTTGAGCTAATAATGCTAACGGTACATTAGAAACACATAGTCGACTCTAAAAAAAATCTCAAGCCACCTTTTCAATTACCTACATCTTGATATTACAGTGAAATGTGTGTGTAAAGTGAATAATCAGTCAAACGTGGTGTTTTACGTCCTTAAATTCGTCATTCAGAGAAATAACAGCAAGCTACCGGCCAGCCAGACAGGAAAAACAACACTTCCTCTATGCCAGAGGCACAATACCGTAATAAGTGTAGTAGGTGCTCCCTATCGTAAAACACCTATAAACGCAACCGGTTTGACGATGTAACAATCTAATCATCACCTTATTGTGTCTGACTCATCTTAGCTTGTCATCCAGATTTTTCTGGTACTGATTCGTAACTGACCACAACCAGGAAATTCACGGAACAGGAGAGAGAGAGAGAGAGAGAGAGAGAGAGAGAGAGAGAGAGAGAGAGAGAGAGAGAGAGAGAGAGAGAGAGAGAGAGAGAGAGAGATTGCAGTGACCAAATTTGACCACAGGAAGTCATCTTACTTTATTCTTACACAGTGCACCTTTAAAGTTACTTCTCTAAGTAGAGCAATGAAGCCAGGAAGTGACGTGAATTAACGCCAACATTTGTGTTACATTACATGGATATTTTATATAGAAGTCTACAGTTATTAACAGCAGGATATTTCTACTCATATTTCTCCCAGAATATTCCTATAAAATGTAACTGACTGTAGTGTCAAGGCTTAAAACATAAGCTTTAAATCAAACGTGTTGGATACCAGCCCTCAGAACTGTATTCCCTTCATCAAAATAAGCTTTATTTGAACTTTGAATTAAATTAAGGGCAAGTGGCTCACTCAAGATTTCTACTTTCTGCTTTCAGGTTCCTCTCCTCTCAACAAGAACAAAAAGCAGAAATATGTTAAACGCAAGAGCGGATGTTCCTAAGACTGGACTGGAGTGAGATCATTTTACAAAAGCAGGTATTTGCTTAGCCAGACAGTGACAAGCTCATTAGGACACAAAGAAAATGGCAGCATTTTACTATGTGCAGCAAAGAAAATGTCAACACACCCAAAAACTTCGTTTTCACTTTGGATCAGGTTTTGCAGTGAGAACGCTGTGAACAAGAAGGTGTTATTAGAAACAACACTGAGGCGCGGCGCACTTTCTTTGACCCAGTTCTCGGTTCTGACCACAGGAACCACGTGCAATACCTTCACACATATAGCCACCGTGAAAGAAAAAGGATGGAGATTTATTTTTTCCTAGGAAAACTCTTTTTTTTTATAATTCATAAACACCACAATCTTAATGGTGCTTGAACCTAAAACCTTGTTTAACTATGACATCACAGAGAAAATACTTCAGCATAAAGAAATACTGTGAGAGGGCTGAACATATGTAGAAGTGAGAGATGAACTTTACTTTCTGCTTTCTGAAGTCACCTTCTGTTCAGGAAGTGTTTGGTCAAGCAAAGAATCAACAAAGAAACAGGAACATGGGGATAATTTTATTTAAAAATGATACTTTGGGCATTTTGAAGTGGCCTCCGATCAGTTTTTTTATCTATACTAAAAACCTTACCTGCAGGTGACGTCTAAAACTCATTAGTAGCCAGATCAGTAACACTTTATTGGCTAATTTACAGTATTTAAAACAACTCTTGTTCAAATCAAAGTCACACTAATGCATTTAAATGCTTCATTATCTGCTTTTTAAACCGGTTCATCCAAAGCCTAGCTCAGGGGTCTGTGACTTTTACAATACATAGAGTAATTTTCCCCCCATATCAACCTAAATAAATGTTTAGACCAAAAACTGTAACAAGCAGTGACACCTCAATGGGGTGGCCAGAGGGGCACCATGGCCACCCCTGGATTTTTTTTCAGGGAGCACCACTGTTTACAGGATATTTAGAAAAGATAGTTTATACTTTTTGATAAATAACTATGGAAGACTGAGGCGCGGCGCTGCCATTGAAGATAAAGTTTTTTTCCCCCTCAGAATTCTGAAATTAGAATCCGAATTCTAGCTTTATCCGAAAATCATTTCAGAAATGTTTGTTTTTCCTCTTCTGTAAACATCCAACATAAGTGATTTGCTGTCATTTAAAAAATAATAATTTTTTCTATTATGTTAAAAATACATTTTTGCAAAAAGTTTTAACATTCTTCCTGAGATATTAATATTTGTAGAAAATAAATTGGTCTAAATATATGACTGGTACTTTTAACATTTAATGGAAATTCATGTGGTTTGAAAAACCCAAAAAAAGCTGCTTAAACAAGACATTTTTGTAAAGCAGTTTTGATCATATTTAGCCAAATATATTAAGAAATTAGAGTTTTACTCTCACTTAATGCCAACAAATTTACGTCAGCAGGTTTGCTTTGACATCCCATCGTCAACTAAAATGTTAAAATCCCAACCAACTGGACCCATCTTTGCTTTAATCGGGATCTCACGGTGATTAAACCCAGACTGAAGGTTCAATCAATCTGTTAATCCTAGCTGACGATATTTCTAATCAATTCAAAGGATCAGGAGGTCGATTCACTTCCTGAGCGATTGTACTTGATTTGTTTGTCCACATTAAGCTAATGACAATCACACGGAGAGGGTCGTTTAACTGCTCGACCCCTGACACGGCTGACAGTGTAGAAACGTATCCCTTTACCCGTTTTTCCCTAGCTAAACTAAATCTGACAGATGCAGCAGTGCGGATGTGAGCAGAACAAACATCTGATTTTTCCTCAGATCTCTGACATCAGGGAACCACACGTTGGCGTTCTGTACAGCGTCACAGCCCGAGGACGCCGTGCTGACAAATCGAAGGAGCCGGTCCAAGAACACCCGCGGAGCAGAGCTGTAAACAATGATTTGAATTAACACAGACATTTCAAAAACAAAATCCTCAGATCAAATGCATTAAAAAGATCCTCGGTCACATTTATACGTCTGCTCCAAGATTTTTGTCAACATGTAATAAATGTAAAAAATGATTAGAAAACAAAATTATCTTATAATAAATTTGCATTTAGAAGAAACTTGAATTATAAATTAAAATTGGATAACAACATAAATATAGACACTAATTACTTTAAGAGTCTCATTCACTTTAAGTTGAAATTTATTTAAAGCGCAAATATAAAAGATGTTGGAGAACAGCTTGATTAAAAAACACAGAAATATCTCATTAGTTTGCTCTTAAAACTGGTTAAAGTCCCATTTTTGATTCTTTTTTTAAAACACAGGAAAGGTTTCTCTTTACCTTGCTGCTGAGTTTCGTTTGCGACTGCAAAACTTCCTCAGAGCTGACGCTGATGGTGGCGTCACTTCCTACTTCGTTTATCCGCGAGCAGCAGAGGACGTTGTCGCCCTCTGCTGCCCGCTCTCCCCTCTCCGATGATGCAGTCCCATGCACGATCCAATGTGTCAACCCCATCGTCTCTGTTCATGGTCCCACATCCACGTCTCCTTATCTCTATAGCTTCTTTTATCCATCTTTTGTATTTCTGTTGTTCGGTGTTTATGATCCTTGTGTTGTCCCAGTCCATTATATGGTTTTCTCTTGTGCAGCGATCTGTTACGGCTGACTTCTTTATTGTGCTTTCTGCCTCGTTTTGCTGCTCTTGTGTGTCTTTGACTTGTTTCTCTCTCGCACTCCTTTCTATGTTCTATTGTTCGTGTGTTGAGTTGGCGTCCGGTTTCTCCTATGTGTGTTTTATTGCAGAGTTTGCATGGGATTTTGTAAACGACTCCACATACAGCTGGTATCTTGTCTTTTGGGTGTGCTAGTCTGTTTCTAACTGTTGTGTATGGTTTTGTTGGTGTGTTTATGCTGTGTTTTTTCATTGTTGCTCTTATTTATTCTGTTATGCCTTTGATGTATGGTAGGGTTATCACTGGTTCTGGTTCTTGTCTTTCTGGGTTTCTGGTTCTTTGCTTTGGTTGTTCTTTTCTTTCTGTTGTTGTTTGTTGTTTTCCTTTGTTTATTGCCCATGTCAGGTATCCGCAGGTCTTTAAAGCGTGTTGTATGTGTTTGTCCTCTTGTTTACGGTCTCTTTCTTCTGTTACCATGTTTGCTCGGTGATATAATGTTCTGTTTGTGTATGATGGGGTGTTCTGATGTCCATAATAGATATTGGTCTGTGTGTGTTGGTTTCCTGTATGTGTTTATGTTTAGGGTCCCGTCGGCCTGCCTAGTCATTTTCATGTCCATAAATGCTATACTGCCATCTGTTTCTGACTCATTTGTGAACTCTGAAAACCCCAGATGTTTTGCAGTCGGCAAACTGTCAGCAAGGTAAAGAGAAACCTGTCCTGTGTTTTAAAAAAGAACCAAAAATGGAATTAGAAGCCAAACACAGAATAACGTACCAAAGATGGTTAAAGTCTCTTTTTAAAACTGATCTTAGCACTCCCCCTTGTGGTAAGAATGAGTACTGTAGCGTTTACACTGCACAGCTGGCTGAATTTAAGATTATCTTTTTTTAATGAGAAATTATTTAAATTGTGTGAAATGGGAAGTTTGGAGTAACTGCGGAGTGTTTTTTTCAGTAAGTGATAAATTATTTCTTCCCTTGTTTATTTTAGTCACAATTTTTCCAGATGAGCTAATTCTAATATCAAAGATAACCCGATTCTAATCTAATCTAGAAACTAAGAATCTGACTCTGTCTGAATACAAAAACACAAAAATCTGTAGTACAAAAGCCAGTTTATTTAGATCTAAAGAAATAAATCACATAAAGAGAAGTAAAAAACAAAACTACAAGGGAATGAATGTTCCTACCACATGACAACACGGAAAAGCCTTAGGATAATGCAGATTGATCCATTTTAAATCCAATTTCAGCACTGAGTTTTAAATTTTCTTTTGGAAAGAGAAATAATTAAGAATTTACTGCATTTTTTTTCTTTCTTTGCTGTAAATTGAAGTTAAAATCTAATTTATTGTCCAACTCTGAACTGACTTTAAATCTGGGTACTAAGAACGAACAAAAACAAGGCTGACGGTTATTATACAAGGCAGTCCTCTTGATTATGAGGTATCCATGGATGATGTTTCTGAAACATGAAAAGAAACAGATTTAGCTTATTCACCGCTTTCATTCCAGATGTTAAAATCCTGGACAGAAAGTGATATTTCTATACATCCAGAGGAGGAAAACTCACGTGTTTCATTAAAGAGGAAGGAATCCTGATACTCCTTCATGTACTGGGAGGATCTGGCCTCATCCAGGAACAGAGAGTAAACCCGTTTAATGTCCTCCACTTGAACTTCTGTCCCCTTTAGCAGCAACAAAAAGACACGTGACACACACACACACACACACGATTTGAGATCTGATGCTGATCCGACGCTTCCTCTGAGCTTACCTTACGTTTACGGCACACCAGTCCTGCAGTGCTGATCAGCTGGATGGCGTAGCGCAGCGACGTCTCCATGCCGATGCGAGTGAGGACCATGTGAGCCTCCTCACTCAGCTCAACATCCTCCTCCTCACACCTTACAAAGCACAAAAGTGTTTACTTCCCTAATTTGGATTTGGGAAGACAGGAACACGGTTCGTGGACAGGGAATACCGATTCCTACCGGATCTTAAGAATCTGCTTCAGCTCTCTCTCAGTGTAAGGAGAGGTGGCGATGATGAGCAGGCGGTCCAGCAGGTCGATGGGGATTCCATGAGGGCTCTGATAATTGGTGCCACGGATTCTATGAAGAAGATCATGTTCAATGTTATACAACAGAAAATTATAAGTACTTTCTTTCATTTTTCACAGATTTGAAAAAACAAATACAGCATTTTTATTTGTCAAATTAAAACAAGTGATCACAGTAAAGAAAACAATCTTTACTGACACTAGAGAGACATTTTTAAGAGTCAAATAAGTTTAATCACAAAGAGATATAATAAATAAGGTTGCAAGCATGCTTTATAAAACTGAGCCCAGATTAAAAGGAGGTAGTTTATGGAGGCTCAATCCCGCCACTATCTCATAATAGGGGTTGTATGAACTAGTCGAATAGTCGACTTCACGGCTCTGTAGTGACTTTTATGCCTGTCATCGACTAGTCGCTGTCAAGTGATAATGACTGACAAGATGCAGTCCTCGGAAAAGACAGCAGGTGATCCCCTGCGCGTCGGGAGGCAACGCGCTGTGCCAGAGCGTTGGTACTGACACCGGCGGTAAAACGGACATTTAACCAAATTGTGATGTTTACCCTCTTGCAATTTAACCTTCCCCTCACCCCCATCCTAACCTTAACCAGCTTGCGCATGCAAAGCTCTGATTGTTGATGCGCTCCAGACATCTGCGTCCTGAGCACGGCCACAGTAACATTATCAAATCAGGTGTCGCCACCTCAAAAACTAATTAAACACGCAATCGTTCATGTCGGCTCATTTCCTTTTATGTTTTTTGTCTTTTATTTGTGCCTGATGCGTTTCGCTGCTGCGGAGCGGGGCGCATCACCTGTTTTGTCCTCCGGTGACACACCTAACTGACGCGGCCGGCGAGCACTCCGCTGTTTTTGCGGTCGGTAGATCTTTTAGAACTGCAGTTCAAAGGTAACTCATAAGGTGAATATATATGAACCCAGGTAGCAGTTTTTCTTTAGGACTGAGAGGAGATGCAGGAAGATAATAAACAGACAGGACAGAAAAATAGTCAAATAAAAACAAGTTAGTTTTTGTACCTGGTGGTTGCAACAAACAGACACCATTGAAGGTAATCAGAAGTGAGGAACAGAAAATGAAATAATTATTTTAATGTTTAGAGCAGCAGGAACTCTGAGAGGCTGCAGGCGCATCAGTGAGTTTGCGGCCGCTGCGCGGGGGGAGGGGGGGGGGGGCTGAAGCAGAAACTACCGTTGTTAAAAGAGATGTGTTAACTTTGAAAATGTGGGCGCAATTTTAATTGTCAAAAACTCCAGCGAACCTACCGACCCCCCCCCCCCCCGCCGCTTCAGTTATATGACGTCATCAACGAGTAGTCAAAGTCGACTCGATTTTCATTACTTGACTGTCGACTTTAAAAAAAATAAAGTCATGCAACCCCTATGTCATAATTACAACTTTACCATCTCATAATAAGATAGGGAAGTTAGAAGAAAAAAAAATTATAATTTTATTATTTAATTTTAATAATGAGATAGCTATGTCATATTTATGAGATAATTTTTTATCAGAGTGGAGGGAATGGGCTTCCATAGCAATTAAAGCTTCAGCTGTGAGTTTTTTTTCCACTGGATGTGCATAAACACTACCGGGTGATGCCTCTGTTGGTTGCCATGATGAGAACAGGAGAAAGGTCACTCTCCAAGGCCCGGTTCAGGAAGGAAAAGCACTCCATGTCCAGCATATGGACCTCATCGATAAACAACACCTGGAAAAAACAACAAACAAAATGATTTGTTATGTAGTTTAAGCAGGTAGAAACCCCAAACTTCAAAAATCTGCACACACTAAAACTTACTCCGGGAATAATCTCTGCCTTGCCTTCTTCCCTCCACTCGCACACTTTGGCATTTATCTGCTCCCGGACCTCGGACTTGATCTCTCCGGTGTCTCCGGAGAAGAGAGCCAGGAAGCCCTGGGTGCGACTGTTGATGACATCGATCTCATGGAGGGACACCGTATGTACCACCTCCTTTCTCTTCTGCAGCTCTCCCTCCGGACATTGGACAAACTGGGTCTACAAAAGACAAAACAAAGAAAAATAATCCAGCAATCGGTCAACCTGCATCCTCAATCTGAATACAGTGGCATCACACCTGAGCGCCCATGGCGTCGTAGTCTCGGGCTCTGGTGAAGGAGCGACCCAACTTGCTGATTTTCCCAGTGGCTTTATCAATTGTAATAACATCTCTGTAAAAACAGAGTAAATAGATTTGTTCTAACGTCGCCCCAGCAGAGAAAAACGAGACTAGAGAATCTTGTTGTGCGAACAGAACCTACCCAGCTTGAACCTTCTCCTTACTGAGACTGTCAATCATCTTGTTGCCCAGGTCATAGATAGTCTCCATCTCTGTCGTCTTTAGAGTCAGCTTGCCTACTTTTGCACCCTGACGGAAAGAAAATATAATTTTTATTAAACAGGACTCTTCAAAGAGAATAACATCAATGTATTTAAGCTAACAGAAAGTGGGAGACAATAAATTCTGAGACTACTAGCTAACATTAGAGAAAGTATCCCACCGTTCCGGTGGCCGGTCTATCAATCTGGATTTCCACAACCTCTCCTTCAATAATCTCCGTCTCCTCTCTGTAAATACGGAAAAAACAGTCAAAGGCAAATCATTTCATACAAAAATAATTAAATAATGCTGTATCTGTGACCGCTGTCTCACTTGATCCTCACTCCAATGGCTTTTCTAAAAGCTTGGCTCAGTGCCTCGGTCTTGCTCATTTCCAGGGAGAAGATCTCGCTACCAGCCAGAGCTGTGAAGGGCGTGTCTGAGCCGAGAGACTGTGCGATGCCTATAAGACAAGCTCATCAGGAACAGGATGCAGGAACTCTTGATTCAAAACAAAATGCAACTTGAAACATTTACATCCATGGACAGCTTCCAACTCGGCTCTCACCCATTGCAATGGCAGTCTTTCCCGTGCCAGGTTGGCCAGCGATCAGGACCGCCCTGCCAGCAATGTGGCCGTCTTTGATCATCTCCAAGATGACCCCTGCTGCCCGACGGGAAGCCAGCTGCCCAACCATCCCCTGAGAAACCTGCAGGTGAAGAGGATCAAGTCTCCTTCAGACAAAACCTCACACACATTAATGCTGGTAAATTAACTAAACCTAAAAGAACAACACTGCTCAATATTCTAAAGTGTTGGTAGATAATATAAGAGAAAATGTCTGAAGTGATGTGATGTTGAGGTTACACAGGCTATCTACTGTATTTTCAGTTTAACCAGTTCTAGCAAAGTATATGCATTAGTAGTAGTAACCAAACAACACATTTTACAAACAGCTTTTTTCTTTTAAAAGACTTAACAGAGTTTCTTTAGAGAGCATGAACAGGAAGTCCACAGCAAATGAATCAGAGACAAGAGTACCTGTCTTGGCTCCAAAGCATCATCCAGGCCAAGGCCCCGAATGTGAGAATGGGCCCCTGAACGCAAAAAGGTGGATTTGAAGGAAAAATAAAGAGCACACACAACTAGCAGCATCATACACCCTTATGATAAATTAGCTTTTTGATTAGTTAACGGTTCAAGACGTCCACACCTACCAATTCTTTCAATCCGTGTGATATCACGAACCTCTGGAACCTTTGTAGCCGCCATCTGCATCAGGTGAAACACAACAAGAAAAACTTGTAATATTAAGTAGATTGTTTTACGTTTCTGAATAATTAAGCAATGCAACTTCTACTGACCAGTTATTTGTCTGTATCTCACATTATGACTCAAAATAAGTCAAATTATTAAAAACAATAGTTAATGTGTAAACCTGATCATACTAAAACGGTAAAGATCAGATCCAAAACTTGATTTGGCAATGAGACACACCTTTTAGTAAATAATGTACCACAATAAAACGATATTTATGTTGTTTGCTAGATCAGAAAACGTCTGAGAGGTCTGTTCTGTCCAGCTGGTTGTCATAGTGACAGTTATAACCCATGCGCTACAATACATTAGCTAGCGTAATACAAAGTTTCGATCACTTTCCAAATATTAATGTCATACGTGAAAGCAAGAAAACTTTTAACTGCCACCACATTAGTTATGTAACATACCGAAACATGTGCGGCTACATTGCCAGCGTTAAAACAGGAATAGAATAGCATTCCGTGGCTAATGTTGTGTTAGCAAACAGCTAGCTTCATTCATCGCTTTATTTAAAGCTAACATTCAAAACAAGCAGAATGGGGACGTCAAACACTCCAACATCATAAGACTTTCTTCAAATTACACAGACAACAGCAATCGGGCAGCATAAACTGTAATATGTTTGAATTTTATATTATTTTATAATAAGCGTGTTCACTCACCTGCACCACTACACTCACCGAAACGTGAGAACGAGGCGCTCCTTTCTGAAAGTGCACCAAGCAAATGCGTCCGACTAGAAACAAGTAGTTTTTTTTTTCACAGGGGCACATGGGGGAGCGTTGTTACCATCGGTTGTTACTGAATTGTTTTTGACCAAGAAACTGAATTGTTTTTGACCAAGAAGACAAAACTAACGAGGTAAATACGTTTCATTACACGATTCTTATAAAGGTACGTAAAATGCTAATTCAAAATTTTATAAATGTTAACTCGTTCAATGAATGTTTGTAGAACTGGGTCCGTGCATTTCGTGTTTTCGTCATTTAAATGTTCTCATTGGAAACCAGTAGAAACAAAAGAATCGCTTTTTTCTTTAATTTCAAATACAAAATAATAAGCCATTGCTAAAAAAGGATGAGCACAACTATTAAAACATATTCTATTCACATTTGAAATAGCAAAAATATTTTTAGTTACAAATTTCCAAGTTGCTTTGAGTAAAAAGTCTTCTTACCAGTGAGGGGTCCTTTAAAATCTAAAACACTATAAAAAATTATAAAGAGGTAATCCAGGTAGAAGACATTTGTGTGCTGGTGCATTTAACAAGAATGAAAGCAAAAAATAAAAATAAAGGGACATTTTCTTGTGACTTTCTTTTTTATATACTTTCAAATGGAATTGTCCTGTTGTGAATTGATGACATGACAACAATTGCAATCTACTGAGCTTTCTCTTAAAATAATCTAAACAAATAAGCAATGAGAATAAGAATGCATCAAGCACAAAACACATTAAAATACTATAATTTTGAAAATAAGTCATTTTAAACCAAGGCATTTGGAACAAATACGTGAGGGACGTTATTTCTCAAATACACACGTACCATTCAAATTATCTTGTGACTATTATGTAAGTTTAAATGTAATAAGTTTTTTTATTTCAAGTTTTGAAGGGTTAATCAGATATATTTTTGTTCTATATTAAAAAGAAACACATCCACATGGCCTAGGAAGGCCAACATTGTCTGATGGAAAACGCCATAATAAAGCTCTAAAAGCTTTTCTCCACCAGAGGTAGCAAAGCTCATAATTTAAAGCTGTGGAATTTTTGTTCATGTGAACTTGCAGTGATCAATGCAAAGGAATATCAATCAAAATATCTGATAAGATAAGTTGGCTGGCACTCCATCCTTAAGTTTTCTTCTGACAAGTTAGATTTCGTGTTTTTATACCTTTAGAAATGCAAAAAAAAGGGTGTAAAGCAAAGTGTGCTCAAATCTTTCTGGAGCAGGTTTTCATCTCCTTCCTGTCATTAGAATTCCCCCCTAAAAGTGCAGCTTTCGGGATTCCACACACTTTAAATTACATAACTGACATGATTGGCTAACTGGGTATATGTTTACTTGAAAGCTTGAAATCAGAAATACTTAAATGAGTCCCACCCATGTGATCACTGCAGTCTAAACAAAAAGAGTAATGTTTATTATTTGGATTTGTTTGTGCTAGGGACAGAAGAAAATATCGATACATTGAAATATTGCGATAGTTTGTGATATGATACTGAATCGATATTTAAAAGCACAGTATACATTTTTATTGAGAATTTACTGTATTTCTTTTGTGTGGGGCAATTCAAACTCCACTGCTAGGTGGCAGTTTTTACCACCATTCTGACAGAACAACAAGAACTGACTTGGAAGCATCTCGCCTGACTTTTCTGATTACATTTTCTAATTAAGTTTCCAATTAAAGTATTGTCTGGCTTTGATTATCACAGTATATCGTATCGTCTGCCCTGTATTCTGATGTATATTGTATCACCAGATTCTTGCCTATACACACTTCTGGTTTGTGCATCAGGAGCTGGAATTTAGAATTAGAGAAGTAGAAGCTCAAGGATTAAAAAAAATATATGAAGAAAACTGAAACAGTTTTTCATAATAAATGTTTATTGATTATAAAAAAAAGGCGTCATCATATCATACATCAATCAAGTACGGCTTTGATTATTTGCACCTAAAATGTTCATGCCCGTTGACATTCACCCCCTTGAACCTTTTTCATATTGATTGAAGGACCAATTCACATTTAAATTATTTTATTTTATTTTATCAACAATTTCAATTTGTTACAAAAATACCTGTGTGAAGTTATCATAAAGCAGTAATGTTTTCAGTAAACGACCCAACAGGTTATTAAATCACACCTGCACGATGGTGATAGCTGACTCATACCAAACCCAGAAACCTGGATAGACAGCTTCAGCAAATGATGCATTGAAGCGGTGGATGAGAGACATGGTGTCTCCTACTGCGTAGAAAGCGAGCGTACCCCCATTGTGGTCCAGGAAAACCCCGATACGGGAGGAGTAGGGCGCTTTGATGTCTATCTGTTCCTTGTTGTGGCGGGCCGAGTAGCTGGAGTCGGAGCAGAAGAGACTCCATGACTTGCGGTTGTAGCCGATGCGGCAGCTGTCGCCGTAGCCTATCCTCTTGATGCCTTTGTAGGTAACTCCGATGGCAGCTCCCTCACCACTCCAGTCCACCTCCCAGTAGTAGGTTCCTCCAAAGAGGGGTTCCTTACACAGGACCTGAGGCAGGGAGTCAAATCTGGCTGAGCTGTTGCCGTAATTCTGGGGGTCTCTCTTTAGAGTGGCCTTTCTGTTTCCCCGAGACAGGTAGAGCTGTCTGTAGGCTGTGTTCGAGTCCAGAGTCAGCTGGCAGGCATCTAGAGAGGGTCACAGGTTAAATATAGCATTTGCGTAGGAAAAGGAAACATTAAATCTAAACTGTTTGGAGGTTAATAAAAATGAGTAAACCAAAAATGGCTGAATACCCCCTCACCATTGCACCACCAACAGGAAGGTCCCAGAGGTTAGCAGATGTGATTAACACTTCGAACTCTGTTAAATGTTTTACTACCTTCTGCAAGAGCATGCTTTGCAGAAGAAAAAAGCAAGAGACCCTTTGGCTGCACACACACAGAATTAGAATAATCCCAGCGGTAAAATATCACCTGCCCACTGTGCATCTGTACCTGTGCAGGTTACAGCTGGTGGGACACCCGGTGGTCTCGCCTAGTTCGGGCAGACCTATGATCTGGAATACCAGAAGTACCAAAACCGTTTGTGAGTCCGACCTCAAGACGAAGTTCTCCAAACAAAGAGCATGTTGAGCACCAGCAATGGATTCTTAAGCAGTCCTAAGTTTTAGGTCGTTTAAGACACAGATGCTACAGGAGCAGCATCTTGAATAGAAATGTGTGTCAGCCCTATCTTAAAGGACCTCCAGACCAGCCTGTGTCTGTCAACGCTGTGTTTTTTCTAAATTCTGATTTTGTGGTAAGCCACAGGGTCTGACTGGAAACCTCATCAGTAAGTAAACAACCTCATACGCTGAGCAGAGAGAGAGAGAGAGATCATCTGTGTCACAGCAGAAACGTACATCTCATGAATTCTTCTCTGTACTGAGGCTCCTGGACTGGGACGGACTTGTACATCGCAGCTTCCTTGAACACCACGGCTTCCTCACCTGTGAAGGAACAGATCAGAGAAGAGTTGGTTGGTTAGGGAATAAATAAATTATACATACATATATTTACCTAAAATTTGTCAGTTCTGCTTAACTGTGCATGCAAATCTACATGCAATCTGAATTATTTGCACGACACACTGGAAAAAGCGCCCCTGAACTGTAGCTAAACAGCCAATCATGTTTGGTTGCAAGGGAGAGCTGATAGATTGGGGGTATAGCACCACAGACATCAAATAAGACACCCCATGGACTGGTGCTGCCTACTGAAGCTGGCGTAGCAGTGTGCTGCCATCTTGGATAGGTCACCACTCGCCCCCATTGCATTTATTTCTACTGAGGAAGGCAAGGCAGTTTTATTTATATAGCATACTTCATTCACAGATGCAATTCAATGTGCTTACCTAACTAAAAAGCACATTTTATTATGGTTTTTTTTTGTCACAAAATCAGACACACGGTATCGTATGATAATTAAAACAGAAATATAATTAAACAACATAAATTAAAATAAAATCCCATCAGGTAGGCTAGAAAAGTCAATAGTATTCCCACGTGTCCATGAACATGAATTTGTAGACTGGGTGCTGGAGAGCCTAACAGTGTCGCTGCCATTTTGGATGGGTTCCTCACTCTCCAAACCCAACTGGAGTCAACATTGAACGGGCAACTATACCGATTCTTTGTGCAGCCTACCGCTGCAACAAGCATCATATTGTAAACAGATCGCATGGAATTACTAGCCTACATTTTGGGATTTTATATTTGAATTTATTTTGGTTAATTGTATTTATGTTTTAATTATCATGCCATACTATATGTCTGATGTTGTTAAAAAATATAGTAAAATGTGTTTTTCATTTGGGTGAACACCTTCCTCAGTAGAGAGAAATGCACTGGGGGCAATAAAGACCCATCCAAGATGGCGGCCGGCCCTTCTCTCTCTCTCTCTCTCTCTCTCTCTCTCTCTCTCTCTCTCTCTCTCTCTCTCTCTCTCTTTCTCTCTCTCTTACACACACACACACACACACACTGTTGCAGTAAAATACGTTTATTTGTTCTCATATTGTGTTCTATTTTATTTTACCGGTATTTCCATTTCATCTTAGTGCTGCTTACTGGTGGAAATGAGCATTGCGTTTGGAGCAGATGATCTTTGGGCTTTTACAAACTGTTTCGTGGGTAAGAACAAGAAAGGACAGATGAGGAAGGGAAATCTTTTGGCACATCTGCCCCATCAAGATTTTATCCTGCCACTGATTGTAGTTGTAGTCCTCCTCATCTAAACCTTCATAAGAGTCAATTTTCTACTTTAAATAAATATTCTCATTTTCCTCACTCACCTTTGATTGACTTTCTTTTCTTGGGTTCATCCAGCTGACAGAAGGTCATTTTATTCACTGTAAATAGAAGAGATGACAGCGTTAATGCAACCAGTGGGCTCATAGCAGTTAAACAGACTGATTTTGCACCACACTCACCTGTCGTGGCGACCTTTACCAGTTCATCATTGCTGAATTCGTTCATATGCTGCTTCATCTCGGACACAGCCTTGGTCACGGGGCCAAAGGTGAAGTAGGGGTTAACGGTTACCGAGGGCAGCTCCTCAGCCTCTGTCTGGGCTATCAGCATGTGGTAACTCTAACAGAGGAACACAGATGCCTTTAACACTAAACCTTTCCTGTTTTGCAGTTGTTTTAGTTTTATGGAGGCGTGGCTGTTACCTGGATGAAGTGGATGTGGTCCTCGGTGCGGGACAGCTGGGTGATCTCGTTGTCTCTCCTCTTAAGGTCGTCAATCTCGTTGCTCAGACGCTCCATGTGACCCTCGGCGTTATTCAGCGCTGCTCTCTTGTTGCTTGATATCAGCTTCGCCATCTCCTGCTGCATCCTCTCAATGGAGCGCATCATGTCACTGAACATCTTCTCGCATTCCTGCAGCGCTCTCTGGGCCGAGTTCTGCACAGAGCAAAAAACAAACAAACAAACAAAGTGTAGTCAGTCAACTGGTTTTACAACAATCTGTCATCACTCCTGCATGAAGGAATGTTGTCTGATTTAACTATCCCATCAGCTTGTAGTGGTTAGTCTGGTCTTGTCTGTCTGATGGATGATGGGGTTACAAACCTTCAGCGCATCCACTGCATGTTTTAGTTCCTCCATTTGTTTCAGACGGTCATGAATTTTCTCCTGAATCTCAGCCTGGGTGGCGCCCAGTCGTTGCTGAGAATAAAACAACAGAAAATACAATTAATGAACAGTTTTTCATCAAATTAGCTGCTGAAAATGACTAATTCATCACATGCTGTAGCTCAGACTTCTGTGTATGTGGCTATGGAGCACCATTCATAAACTATTATGTTTAAAATGAAAAATAGGTATGTTTGCCATATTTAGCATTTTGACAGCTGTATATAATCACATTTAACCCCTTACAATAAAAATGAACTGTAACATTTTAAAGTCACGTTTTCACCACATTTATTTTAAAAATTACAATATTAAACTGTGTTTAAGCATAAATCCATAATAATAATGTTAAAAATAAGTATTTACTATTTTAATGTTGAATCTAAATTATGAAATCTAAATGTGCTGTTTTAAAACAAATATTTAGCTAATTGGGATTTTTGTAAAGCAGAAGTAACAAGTAAAGAAAATGCAAGAAGAAGAGATCCCCTGTCCAAGACCAGATTGTGAGTTTGTTTAAAAAAAGAGTGGTTAAATGGACTCATTCTCAGACCTTAACAAGGGGGTCACCTTATCTTGTTTTTAATGACACTGCAGGGCAAATATTTAGTTTAAATCACTCACATGCATATTTAGATTTCTACATTTGGATTTAATATATTTAGATTTGATCTTAAATATTTTAAGATCATTTGAAGCCAAATATTTAGTTCAAATCACTCACATGCATATTTAGATTTCTACATTTGGATTTAATGTAATATATTTAGATTTGATTCTAAATATTTACTTTTAAGATTATTTGAAGTAAAATATTTTTTATATGTAGTACTGAACCACCAGCACCCTTTGGCTAACACCCATCAATGCATGTGCTCCTAACCGCCTTAGGCTTTGTTTACTTCAATACTAGCTGCTTTTTTCTCTGAATAAGTACATGTTTATGTAGTAGTTTTTGATACACGACGCATTGTTCTTTAGTATCTTGTGCAAAGCCCATGAAGGCATGGCCGGCTGATAGCTAAGCCAGCACCACCCTGATAAACCTGTCGGTTTGAGTGAGTTGTTACCTACCTGCTCCTCAGATCGTTCCTGCTCTGCTGACACCATGTCGTGACCCTTGTGTTCCTTCACCGTGCACAGCACGCAGATGCACATCTGGTCAGTGCGACAGAACAGCTCCAGACCTTTCTGATGCTGCGGGCAGATCTGCCTGTCCAGGTGGCCGATTTCATCCACCAGTTTGTGCCTTTTGAAGGTGGCTGACTCAAAATGAGGCTTGAGGTGCTTCTCGCAGTAGGAGGCCAAGCACATCAGACAGGTCTTGATGGCTTTGTGCTTTTTGCCCACGCAGATGTCGCAGCCGACATCCTGGGGTCCTGCATAGTTGTAGTCAGGGGAGGGAGGTGCAGGTGGAGCGGGCTCGGAGTTACGTTGGGTGGTGGAGTACCGGGAGCCTCCCGAACGTCTCGGCGTGGGCCTCTTGTTGTAGGTCACTCTGCATTCAGGGCAGAGGTAGGACCCTGTGCTCTCAGCGTGGTCCCAGTATGTCTTCAGGCAGATTGAGCAGAAGACGTGTCCACATGGGATGGACACTGGGTCCCTGAGATATTCCTTACACAGGTAGCAGTTTTCTTGGTCGAAAGACATGGGGAAATCTTGGGAGGTGTTCCTTCCGATGCCGAGAAGGTGCAGCAGAGGCAGACTCTGACTCGTGTCAGCACAGTGGCAAAGTGAACCCACAGGTAGGACGGGAGCATTTTATAGAGAGTAAACACAGGGAGGCTAAACTGGTTAAGCCGAAACCAGTAAAACAAGGGTGGGGTAAGAAATGGACACAGTGAACATGCCCAACTGTTACAGAGGGCAAGGAGAATGAATGAAATGTGTGATCTGAAGATAAAACATATTCTTGTGGAATGATTGTCAGCAAAAATAATCAATGTTTGTCCTTTTATTGAACATGTGAGACAACTTACAAAAACTAGTGGCCTTTTACTATTTTATGCATTTTTAAAAGGACTTTCAATCAGAGCATTGCATTCCTTACGTTGGTTGACTTGAGGAGTATATACATGTAACATAGCAAATACACCAAAAAGACAAAAAAATCACACCTAAGATCTCTAGCAGAGCAGAGAGATTGTAGGCGTGTCCTTCTCTTCACTCAGGTGTACTCTAATTACTTCAAAGACTTACTTGTTTGACCCGAGTCTCGCTGATTGTTTCCTTTCATAAGGACACGAATAACGACTATAGGAATCGTCTCTGTGTTTTTTGTTGGAATCAGTTGGTCTCCTTCTACCAGCGAGATGCTGGCTCTCACCCCGCTGCAGAGCTGTTAATTATCAACTCTTTTAGCTTAGCTTCCCCCCGAGTTTCTGTAAATCAACACTTTGACTGAATTTAAAGTAGCTTAAAGAATTTTGACCTGACCTAAAAACCCAAATTGTATATGATTCGTCTCACAGTGAGACCCCCCCCCCCCCCCCCAACACACACACACACACACACACACCCTTCCTCTAGCCAAGATGGAGTTTCAGGGCTGTTGAGATGGAGCTAGGAATGCAACTACACTTGATAGCCCAGATAACAGGAGAGCCAGGAAAGCTTGCATAAAAGATTCCATTGTGTTAAAGCCAGCAGAGCCCAACGGAGTGCCAAGCGTTATATGGGCCCTGTTGTGTGTCAATAACAGTAACCACAGCTGACATGTACGACTATAAATGAAAGTCTTCCTGCTGCAGTCACACACTTTCATGCGAGCCTTCTACAGCTGTGTATTTTACAGGGGGCTGACAAAGGTTGAAGTTAGTTTTTATATGACTGATTCTGGTTCTGAGGGATGACGCAAATTACCGACTCCGATTCCAATTTATGCAGAAGAGCTATAATTGAAGAAAAACTTTTTAAAAGACTTAATTATTTTGAAAGTTGTGATTCTGGAGGTAAAATCCTCCACGTTTGTTTTTACTAGCATGAATTAGCTCTTGGCAATGTTGAGTTCATGATAAAAAGACATTCTTTATTGCTACTAGGCACTGGTGGATTCACGGACCACAGGAAGAATAAAAAAAAAACTCATTTTTTAATTTCTGTTGAAAACTGAAAAGCAGGTGATAAAGATTTTTCCTCTTTTAGTGCAAACGCGCATTCTTTTGTCCGGTCTGAAAATATCTCAACCACGTTTTCCTTGAATGTACACCTATAGGCCCTTTTCCACAATCGGATTGTCTGGATAATTTACCGGACCTTCGTGGCATGCACCATTTCTCCGATGCTGGCCCTAAAGGACCATTTTCCAGGCCATTTTAGGATCCGACGGAGTACCTGAACTGGGGTGTACTCAGAAAGGCCAGGTAGAATCGCTGGACCGGACTTGTGGTTAGCTCATGCTGATTGGTTGTAACTCAATTGGAAATTCTTTCTGCAGAAATCGCCAAAACAACCAGTGTTTGTAGAATTAAACAAGTTGCTGATGAAGCAGAATGGACGGAAGTAAAATAATCATCACTGACACTGCTTTAAAATTCTAAACTTCCAACACAGAAAAATGTGGCAGAATTCCCCCACAACGCCGTAATCCATGGTACTTTGGAATTTCACAAAGCACCCATAAAAAACAACACATCTTTGTTTCATTGAACACCGCTTTTTGTATCACAGAGCTCTCCTCTTCGCCCGAGTGGCACAGATCAGTGACATCACTCACTGCCAAACCGGTCGCGATGTGCTAACGTCTTAGCAAAGTCCTTATAGAGCCGATTTTGTATGGAGACAGAATGGCTGAGAGGACCAAGGCTGCGCATACTCACCTTCCCAGAAATGTCCCGGAACTCCTACAGTGGAAACATGACTTTCGGGTGAGTCAAACATTTCAAGATGATCACCACAGCTCACCAGCATTAGCAAGCGCAAAAATGTCTGTAACTCAATTAGGCTTAATGATAAGCTAAATCACCATTTTGTTGTAGCTGACATTGCATGAGGTATGCACTTAATTTTATTTTTAAGATTTTGCCAAAACAAATATTTGTCAGAAGATAATAAAAAATAAATAAGTACTCCTGCAGGCACTCTATTGTCTCTCACAATGATTTGGCCTGAATTATTTTAAACATCATAAATAGTTAATAGTTGAATTTACACTTAACTATTTTTTACTTTGAGCATCAAAGGCGTCTACAGATGTTGATCAGCTACATGCCTTCATACAGTGTAAAGGAGGGTGGAGGATGTTATCAGTCAACAGCAGTATTTTGTTTAGTCAACCCTCAGTTTCCCAGCAGGTTATTTTTAAAGCAGAATTATTTACCTAAACTATATTAAACTAGATTATTTATATTTAAAGGGACATTATGGAAGTTTGACAACCAAAACATGTATAGAAATAATACATTTCAATCAATTTTATTTATATAGCGCCAAATCAAGGCACTTCACATAATAAACATTCCAATTCAGGTCAGTTCATTAAGCCAATCAGAAATAATGTTTCCTATATAAGGAACCCAGCAAATTGCATCAAGTCACTGACTAGTGTCAGTGACTTTACAGCAATCCTCATACTAAGCAAGCATAAAGCGACTGTGGAGAGGAAAACTCCCTTTTAACAGGAAGAAACCTCCAGAAAATCCTGGCTCAGTATAAGCAGCCATCCTCCACGACTCACTGGGGATGGAGAAGACAGAGCAGGGGCGCACACACACACACACACACACACACACACACACACACACACACACACACACACACACACACACACACACACACACACACACACACACACACACACACACACACACACGCACACACGCACACACGCACACACACACACACACAAGACAAAGTAATGTGTCTATAGTTATATTGCGAATTCTTAGTAAATATTGTATTTGGTGAGAGATAAACTTTATTGTATTTATCCTAGTGGATCTATAATTAAACGCATAAACTAGTAGTAGCACATCCAACGTCAAGGAAAGCAAAAAGTTATTATCAGGAGAGGGAAAATGTTTAAGTGGTTAGCAGCAGTGTGCTAGACGATGGCCCCCTCCATGAGGCCACCACAGCTCAGCAGAACATCATTGTAGCTTCTTCTGGGGAGAAAAACACTTGGAGAAAAAATAAAGTTAACAGCTGAAATTGCAGAAAATAATACAGTTAAAGAGCAGATTGTAGAAGAAAGTAGTAGAGTGTGAAAAGTGGTCAGTGTATCCTCCAGCAGTCTAAGCCTATAGCAGCATAACTACAGAGTTAACTCTGGATAATCTATCCTATTTAGATGGAGGCATGTTGGAGGCAGGGCAAGGGAGAGCCGTCTTTACCGACTGTACACTCCACCTCCCTCTACTCCCCCACTTGTCCAGATTTAGGCTAACATCAGATTTTAACCATAGGCCCTATCAAATAAAAATGTTTTAAGCCTATTCTTAAAAGTAGACAAAGTGTCTGCCTCACAGACTAAAGCTGGGAGCTGGTTCCACAGGAGAGGAGCCTGATAACTAAAAGATCTGCCTCCCATCCTAAGTTTAGATATTCTTGGAACCACCAGTAGACCTGCAGTCTGAGAGCGAAGTGCTCGGTTAGGAACTTATGGAACAATCAGATCACTGATGTATGATGGAGCTTGATTATTAAGAGCTTTATATGTGAGAAGAAGGATCTTAAAATCTATTCTGAATTTAACAGGTAGCCAATGTAGGGGAGCTAAGACAGGAGAGATATGATCTCTCTTTTTAATTCTCATCAGAGCTCTAGCTGCAGCATTTTGGACAAGCTGAAGACTTTTAACTACATTCTGTGGACTTCCTGAGAGCAATGAATTACAGTAATCCAGTCTTGATGTAGTAAATGCATGAACTAGTTTTCCAGCATCACTCCTGGAAAGGATGCTTCTAATCTTAGCAATATTCCGAAGGTGGAAAAAGGAAATCCTACAAACCCGTTTAACCTGGGATTTGAATGACATGTCCTGGTCAAAGATAACACCAAGGTTCCTTACTTTGTTCTCGAGATTAATGTAATGACATTCAGGTCAGGTGATTGACTAAGCAATTTCCTTTTCTGGATTTCTGGTCCAAAGATGAGAACTTCCGTCTTGTCTTGATTTAAAAGCAAAACATTTTGAGTCATCCAATTTTTTATGTCCTCAAGACAAGCCTGTAATCTACACAACCGATTAGGTTCATCAGGGTTAATGGATAAATATAACTGAGTATCGTCAGCATAACAGTGGAAGTTTATCCCATGCTGTCTAATGAGTTTACCAATTGGGAGAATATACATAGTAAAAAGAATTGGTCCAAGCACTGAGCCCTGTGGTACTCCACAAGTAACCCTGGAGTATGAAGACGATTTGTCATGTACATTTACAAAATGAAATCTGTCAGACAGGTAGGATTTAAACCAGCCTAGCGCTGTTCCTTTGATCCCTACAACATGTTCAAGTCTTTCTAAAAGAGCATTGTGATCAACTGTGTCAAAGGCAGCACTGAGATCTAACAAGACTAGAACAGACACAAGATTCTTATCTGAGGCCATGAGAATATCATTTGTAACTCTCACTAATGCAGTTTCAGTGCTGTGATACTCTCTAAAACCAGACTGAAATTCCTCAAACAGATCATTAGTGTTTAAATGCTCACATACTTGGATGGCCACTATTTTCTCCAGGACTTTGGATAAAAATGGAAGGTTAGATATTGGTCTATAATTCATTGGGTCATTTGGATCCAGAGAAGGCTTCTTAAGTGAAGGTTTGATTACATCAACCTTAAAATCCTGTGGTACATATCCTTTTACTAAGGATAGATTGATTATATCTAGAATGGGGGCAGTAACCAAAGGAAATGCTTCTTTAAATAATTTGGTTGGGATTGGATCCAAAATGCAAGTTGAAGGTTTAGATGAAGCTAATATTTTTGATAGCTCTGAAAGCTCAACTGGATCAAAGCGGTTCAAGCACAGATGAGGTTCTACAGTCACCTCTGATGCTGCCTCACTTACTGAGGAAGAAGAAATCACATTAGGGAGGATGCTAAAGATTTTGTTTCTAATAGAATTAATTTTACTTGTAAAAAATCCCATGAAGTCATTGCTGCTGAGGGCTAAGGGAATAGATGGCTCAGAGCTATGATTCTGTGTAAGTTTAGCAACTGTACTGAAAAGAAATTTAGGATTATGCTTATTCTCCTCAATTAATGCTGAGAAATAAGCAGTTCTAGTTTGTCGAAGCTTATTTTTATAAAGCACAAGACTATTTTTCCAGGATAGGTAGGCCTCTTCATGGTGCGTAGAGCGCCATGTTCTCTCCAATTTCCTAGTTTTGTTTTAAGGCTCATAAATGAGAATTAAACCAGGGAGCCAACTTCCTGTCCCTAATTACCTTCTTTTTTAAAGGGGCAACATCATCTAATGCCACACATAAAGAGTAATTAACATGATGAACTAAGGCATCAATTTGTGAGGGGCCAGAACTGAAAATATTGCCCTCTGCTACATGCCTCTGAGATGCTGAGGACAGTAAAGATGGAACAGTTGATTTAAAAGATGCAACTGTGTTGTCAGATAGACCGACTATAGTGAAATTTACTTTCATGTCTCGAGAACTCAGTTATAAAAAACTCAAAGGTTATTAGAAAGTGGTCCGAGAGGACTGGATTATGTGGAAAGATCGTTATTTCCTCACACTCTATGCCAGGGATTCCCAAAGTGTGGTGCGCTAGGGGGTGCGCGAGGTGAAAAGTGTAATGGCTGCAGTGCTCAGAGAAGTCTGTCATATGTCACCATTAGCGTAGCCAGAAACTCATTTGTGGGTGGGCCAAAGAAAAAGTAAGTGGGCACAATAAATGTAATTGAAAACAAATATATTTTTGCGCGTGTGTCCTCCACATGTGCCCTAGCTTCATAATAACAATGCGCCGAGCTTCAGCACTCTGGCCTGCGCACGCCGATATGTTCCGTATTTGATCATTTTTAACGATGTTGGAGAAATCTGAAGGTGGCGAGTCATTCTGGCAGATTGTAATTAACACCCTGTCTCATGCAGGTGTTCTGACATTGTAAACACCGCGGTCAAGTGAGCCGTCATTATTGTAAACCTCACACACAGAACATTGTGGATGTAACAAAATAAATCAAGAAAAGATTCCCATTCAGGCTATTAACAGCGCGCTGAAGATCTGAAGTTCAGAGTGCGTCTGTCAGAGGTCAGACGCGTTCCAGTGGAACCACGGCTCACGGGTGCACAAGTGAGCACATCTGGGCTGGGCAGAAGTAATTTTACAACATTGGTTTAAATAGCGCCAATAACGAGACGCGGTGACTGGAGTGGCTCATGGAGCTGTGCCGCGCGCGCACACACACACACAGATTAAATAAGCGCGCACGCTGCGCAAACTCCGGCGCGCCGTCAGTCTGAAAGCAGAAATGAGTGCTGCCTCCTCTGTGATAAAAACTTTTAAGAGGTTTTATAACAATATTTTTCATTCAAGGTCAAATTAAGATATTAGCTTCTATTTTGGGATGACGTATTAAAGTCGGGTCCGCTCCAGCCAGTGACTCCGAACCTGACAACGCCTGTTACTGCAGCATTTGTTATTCCAGTCCGCATGGCAGCGGATCGCAGATTCAGCCACACCATAAAACAGCAATAAGTCGGTCTGAGGCAAAAGTGAACCTCATGGCTTTTCCATATTTTCCCCTATTGACATTTGATTACGCACAAGTAGGTGATCAGCTCAGGTTTACGCAGAGCAGAAGGAAGGAGCGCGCTCTGGCCGCACAGGTTAAACGTTCCTACTTTAAGAAAACTGTTAAATTGCATTGTTTATGTGCTACCTGGGCACTCTAAATATTTATTTAAAATTAAATCAAAGGAAATTGTAATGGTATCGAATGTTTATTAATTACTATTTAAAAAATGAAAGTGATGGGGAAAAAGGTCGATCATATTTTTTTTTACCCTGGCTGTTTAGCTTGACGTCTGATATATATATATATATATATATATATATATATATATATATATATATAGCCATGCCCTGATGTGGGGGTTTGCTGCTCGGGTTGAGCAGGCTGCTTCATGCGCGTTCACGCTCAGGCATCGTCCGTAGCATTTGCTATTCGTAGCTTTAGCAGCAGAGGGAGAGGTAGTGCCAACTCAGCGACTTTGTCGCTGTTCCTAACGCCTAGTGACAAACCTAGCTACATTTCTGAGGACCCTTACCTACTTTCTGTAGAACTTTCTTCTAGATATTTCCTGCAAATTAGCAACAAAATAGCCATTTTTGCTCCGAACCGTTCTTTGGTTTTACGTTGTTTCGGGTGTTATCAAGGATATAAATGTTACAGATGCTATGAATGTTACTAGAGTGTAGCTCATCTTTTAAGATGTCTGACTCTCATGCAGAAGCCCTCGGTTCGATTCTGGATGTGAACAGTTTATTTAGAGTTTCTTTTATACATTAATGGTATATTTTTTTACAGTAAGATGCCCAAATTTTTATTTGAGACTCGCCGAACAGTATTGAATTCACAGATAAAAAAAGATGTGGGTTCAACTTTCATTTTGGAACAATTTTTCAAGCAAGGGAAGGGAATGATCTTAGCATGCAGGAGGACTGACCCATCATAAACCTTTGTCGGCTGTGCTGAAGAGAAAGGTACAGAACCAAATTATTTAATTAATTAGCTGCGCGTTCTCCTGTCCTCTGTCCTCCGGGCCACACACACACACACACACACACACACACACACACACACACACACGACTGTCTCAGCTGTTATTTTTGTTAAGGAGTGTGCACGTACAGCATGTGCGCCTCGTGCACGAGCCTACTATTGAAGCTGCCGTTACGCTTCTGGCCTGAGGGGGCAATCGCGAGTATAAAAATTCAAAAGTCTGTAAAGTCCCTTTAAAATAGACAAAGCTGATCACTGCATATTTTGCACATTTATGTTGTCTTTGCTTTGCACAGGAAAGCCTAATTTACTAACAATTTACCTTGTGCACCGATTTGAAAGTGTCACGTTGAGAGCGCAGGTGGATTGGACCCAAAATGCAGACACCAAAAGAACTGAATGCAGGAGCGGTTGTATAAATGAATTTCCTTTTATTAAGGATGCTGCTCAAAACTCGAAAGGTGCAGAACTCTAAGCCTGAAACAAAAACTCGGAATGACAAAAAACAAAAGCTCACTTATGAGCCAGAATCTGGATTTACTCGAGAGGGACAAAGTAACGCTGACACATACAATGGACCGACAAAACACTTCTTCATCTTCTTCTTCAGTGAGTGTTTAATGGCGGATGCAAGCTACTTAGCGCATTACCGCCACCCTCCCAACAAAACACTGACGCTGACAGGGTTATATACACAAGGGCTGGGTGATTAGGAGATGAGGAGCAGGTGCGTGGGGAGAGAGAACTGAGGAGAGACTGGTGGAATCAATAAACTTAATGGGAAGAGAAAACCAAGCAGAGGAGGGGATTAATCATAACCTATGAGACAGTACATAAATAAACCTAAAAGACTAAGGGTACAGGAGAACCAAAGATAAATAACTAATGACCTGAGGAGTGAGGGAGACTAATAAACAAGTGGGGAAGTAAAACACACACTAAGGGAGACTTAATAAAATGAAAACCTGAACCTATAGAAAACTACAGAGGCGTGACTAGGGGAAAACCTCAAGGGACACCTGGGAGAAAACCTGGAGGGGCTGGGGAACAAAAAGGATACAAAACGCTAGGGGGGAACATGAGGGAAACCAGGAAGGAGCTGGGGACAAGAAGGGACATAGGAGGCTTGGGGACACATGAGGGGAACCTGGAGGGGGCTGGGGACCACAAGGACACAGAACTTAACAGAAAGTTTAGGCCGATATTGATATCTGATGTTAAAATTGCTGTTATATCTGATAATCAATATTTACGATGTCACATTACCGAAAGTAGGGATGTAAGAAAATAATGATAAACTGAAAAATTGCTAAAATTTGTGTTCATATTAATATATTTGAGAGAGAGAGAGAGAGAGAGAGAGAGAGAGAGAGAGAGAGAGAGAGAGAGAGAGAGAGAGAGAGAGAGAGAGAGAGAGAGAGAGAGAGAGAGAGAGAGAGAGAGAGAGAGAGAGAGAGAGAGAGAGAGAGAGAGAGAGAGAGAGAGAGAGAGAGAGAGAGAGAGAGAGAGAGAGAGAGAGAGAGAGAGAGAGAGAGAGAGAGAGAGAGAGAGAGAGAGAGAGAGAGTGTGTAAAATTAAACTTTGTGCTTAAAACTTTATTTCTTTTGTGTGGTGCAATTCAAAGTCTGACTGCTAGGTGGCAGCAGTTTGCACCACCTTTATCTTGTCGGAACAACGAGATGTCGCGATGACACTCGATGTGTTTTAGAAGTATTTGACCTGATATTTTTAATCAAGTTCAGTCTAAAAAATTGCAAACATTGTCTGACTTTTATTATTGCATATATTGTATCGTATACTGTCACATGACTAAACAATTACGCATCATCACCCCCTCACCCTCTGAAACCTAATACACAAACAGTAAAAAGATGGGGGAAAAAAACATTTGTTAATATTTGCCCAGTTTCCTTATCGGACCAATACAGATTTGTTAAAAAAAATGACTAACATCGGCCGATACAGATATTTATGCCATTATATTGTGCGTCCCTGTGTCCAATAAACCTTTTTACATTTTAGATGCTTACATGCATATCTGCTCTACCAGCCTCAATGTTCGAGCTCATCCTTTGCAGCTTTTGCCTAAGAAGCTGTTTCATATCAAACAGATTACGAGACCAAACACCTTATTATGTGAACAGAAAATGATCAGATGACCATCAGTCAAAGGTTTATTTCTTACATCAGACATTCTTTCTGCTGGGTGTGTTTGAAAAGAAAAGAAAAACACCAAACTTGCCTCCCTTCATTTTTTTAACCTGACTTTGAAGTTTTACTTTTTTCTGTCTGACTTTGTAATTTTCTTTTAAACATTCTTAGCACCAGAATCCACTTTAAAAGCTAAATGACTGTTTTACAGTGTGACATTGTTATTTTAGGTTTGCTCCAGTGATTTTAGTGCTTTTTTCCCTCAGTTTATTCATGCAAATCTCCCACATTTCTAGTCTCTGCTCATGCATTCAACACTGTGCACTCCATTCTGTTTCGACAAAAAAAAGTTTAATTGTAATATTTTATGCTTTTTCCATCAAATAGTAATTTGTCCACTCCTGCACTCACATTAATGCACAAGACAGACTCCTCTCACTGAACTTGGAGTGAACTGTGAAGCTTCATCAATAAAAAACAGACATGCTACAGCTGAAAGTAGCAGGATAATTCCTCCTTTTTCTTTAACATCGTGAGTCTGCTCCCAGAAAATAACATATTTGTGCAAATAAGAGCCATAGCATTCCCGTCTCGGGTGAAAACTCAATAAAAACTGTCGTATAAATCTGTTCTTGTGGATTTCTAGAGCTTCTCTGCACAAATAGGATATGTGAGCGCTCCATTTGCGGGTGAGGAAGGAAGGAAAAACTGGCTTATCAGAAACCGTACCAAATATGGAGGGAGGAGAAACTACCAAGAGCATGCAGTAATAAAGCAAGATAGGATGAGGTGCAGCTGATTGTGTTAAAAACTACAACTTACTTTGTTCATTTGGTCCTAAATAGTTTTAAGTGGATTAAAAGTACATGATTAAATTGGTAAAATGAAATGCTTATTTTGTTCTCTGACTTTTAAAGTAAATTTATATGATAATGGATAGAAATCAGTAGATTCAATGTTAATGAGAGAGGAGTTGGGCTGAGATTTAAGCTCTATCCTGGTGGTTTTTTCCTGTAAATGATGAGTGCTTTTACTACGAGAGGAATTTTATTGTTGTTGCTTCAAAAATGTGAAAGAACTGGAATAAAGCATGCACAGTAATGCTAAAACTATCCAACACACCTGGCAGGAATGTGTGTGTGTGTGCGTGTGTGCGTGTGTGTGTGTGCGTGCGTGCGTGTGTGTGTGTGTGTGCATGTGTGTGTGTGTATAAATCGGCTCGTGAATGGGAACGAACTGGTCGGACTGGTCACAGAGTAAATAATCTAACTGAATTTCTCAGCAAGTGGCTGATGGATTAAGTTGTGTTTGAAATCTGTCTGAATCCAGAGAGTCTGTGTTTGTTCAGTGGGTGGTCCCCTGAAATTCCTCCAAAACCTTCTGCTGTTTGTCCAACGATAACCGGTCTGAGACAATGGCGATTCTGTCCAACAACAATAGGTGGAAATACAGCTGCTGAGAAGCGTGTGCGCATTTCAGCCGCAGATGAGCCTCATGAGAAATTCCAGCAGAAAGGAAACTGCAGGAGGACAGGAAAGCATTTTCTTGCACGTAACATGTCATTCCTTTTTTTTTTTCTTTTGAACATTTCATTCATCTCTTTTACTCTCTTCCCACACCTCTCCTTCTCTTTTCATTTTCTTCATGCTCAGCTTGCGTATCTGAACTGGGCAGGGCTGGACACGCTCACGGCTCAGGGGGAGGGTTCTCGTCTGCTTTCAATCAATAACCCCAGGAATTTGGAAATACAAGTTAGTCCAGTCCCTGGCAGGCTGTACCACACGGCAGAGGGCGGGCTCACACTCTCATTCAACGAACTCTCCACGCACTTGTGGCATTCTCTCTTGTCTGTTTCCGCAGGTCTGACTGGATTTTGGAGTGCACCACCATGGCTGATCACACATCTCCTGATTACTTCAGCTGCTCCCTGTGTGCGAACCTTCTCAAGGACCCCGTGGCCATCCCCTGTGGCCACAGCTTCTGCATGGATTGCATCAGCGGCTACTGGAACGAGGCTGATTACACGGGGATTTACATTTGTCCCCAGTGTAAGATCACATTCACCCAGAGGCCCGTGCTGCGGCCCAATGCCACCCTTAGCATGGTGGCTGAGAAGATCAAGAAGAGCGGCTTGAACATCAGCCTGAGCACGTCCCAGGGAAATGTCTACGCCGGGCCAACCGACGTCCCGTGTGACTTCTGCACCGGAAAGAAACTAAAAGCTGTGAAGTCCTGCCTGAACTGTCTGGCATCTTACTGCGAGAAGCACCTGAGGCCGCATTACGAGTCGGCCACCTTCAAAAGGCACAAGCTGGTGGATGAATTGGGAAACCTGGACAGGAAGATCTGCCCGCAGCACCAGAAGTCCTTGGAGCTTTTCTGTCGAACGGATCAGATGTGTATCTGTGCTTTGTGCACAGTCAGCGAACACAGGGGCCACGACATAGTGTCCGCTGAGGCAGAGAGAGGCGAGAAGCAGGTAAGAAATCAGTTTCTTAGAAAGCTCAGGCCTCAGAACATCCACACCCAGTTTGTCCTCTCACGAGTGAAAGCGAACAGCGTGTTTTTCTCATCTGCCACTGCTCAACAACTCCTGTTTGGACTTTGACCCATTTGCCCCAACACTATCAGCTACTCGGGCAGCGCTAAAACAAATCCAGTTCTCTGATTAGCTGAGAGGAAGCTGTGAGGGGCGTGCCTCTGACTTATCACCCTTCCATGAAAGCTGCCTTTTTTCAGGAGAGTGTGGTGATCCAGCTGTGGGATAAACACACAGAAATTGCAGCTTTCCCACCTGTGGGAGTGAGCGGGTTTACTCAGATCCTGGAATGTGAGGGAGTGAGGGCTTCTCACTTCAACCTCAGCACCGTATCATTCAAAGTGACTCACAGATTACATGGCCTGTAAAACAATGTGAAGGAGATAAGAGCGTCAGCAGAAACTAGGGGGTGGAAATGGGTGAGCTGTAACAGCCGCCAGAGATGATGACGGGTGGATGTTTCACTCATAAAACAACATTTACAGCATGCTGAGTGTGGTTTCTCTCAAAGATTCACAACCTGATCCTGCACATCTTTTACTCCATCTCCCGCTCTCTCTCTCCCCCCTCCCCCTTCCCAGATTCCCCACATTCCTCAAGCTTATCTTGAAGAATGGGCTGGTGGGTTGGAGTAAAACGCTGAATTAGTCACTTCTCTCTGTGCACCTTGAAACATCTAAAAGTCAGGCAGCGGTAGTTTCACATTCCTGACGGGGCCAGAATTCTTCTACAGATTTTTTTTATCCCCCCTCCTGTCTCCCTCTGAGATAAAAGCACGCCGCGTTAAAAGCTTCTTTGAGTGGGGTTTATTCAGCATGCCAAAGGGCCTCCCCGGATATTCTCCAACAGAGGAGAATGCCAGTCCTGTTTCATCAAATATGAGCTTTTAGTCTCATAATATCAAACATCCAGTTGCATCTTTTAAATCTGATGTAACTCCACTTTTGTTTGATTGCAACACTGCTTTAAAAGGGACATATTATGCAAAACTAGCATTCTTGCTTTCTTTTGTGCTGCCATGTGGGTCTCTACTGCCTCTGTAAACACTCAAAATGTTGGAAAAAAAACATCCATGTCTAAAAATGATATGCCTAAAACAAGCCGCTTCAAAGTCACTGTTTGTGATGTCACACACGGGGAAATTAGAATAGAAGCACCTCTCACATATTGACCATTTGCACCAATGTCACCTGATCACGTGGGTCCACCATGGTGGACGGCAAAAGCATGTAAACAGTGAGCAACACGAGTACTAAACAAAGGGAAAAGTAGAGCCTGAAATTGTTTTTGCGATCAAAACAAAAACAAAACTCCTCCAGCATTCCTTCAACTAGTTCATGCCCAGTTCAGTTAGCAGAAGAAGTAGCGCATCTAGCGGGGGCTCATAGAGAGCCGTATGCTAACTAGCTTACCAACGTTAGCTGACGTTCTCTCTGCAGCTGTTCACCGATGTAAACATGTTGCTGACTTTGCCTAAATTCACCCCTCTGGATTTATAACTTTATGTTGTAAACAGCGTTTCACTTTACACCAAAGCTGATTGTTAAAAAGTCCGGATCCCCACCAGCTTCTGCTGGTGGTGTTACCGGGTTCAGCTGCTGCTCTCACACCAGAATGAGAAGATCTCTGAACGCCGACTCTCACATAAATAAATAACGTAATTTTAACACACGTAATCATACATTGGAGCTTTAATATTGTTAATAATTGTCTCGCTTTACACTACAGTGGACGGAGCGCAGCCTCCGTGGTGAAATACCCATCCATCAGGATTATCAATAACTTGTATAAACACACCTGTCCCTGTCTTCCTCGTGAAATAAATTAACGTTAATCGTACCCGTTAAAAACATGTTCACTGCAAATCTGAGGGCTGCTAGTCTGCTTGATTGATCGCTGCAGTTCATCTCCGTCCTCAGTCTCCATCAAAGTTATTAAAAAGAAAAAATGAGTTGAGTTTACGTCCTTATCTCTTAGTGCAGCCAACCACGCAGCAAGCTAAAACCATTTTACTGTCAAATCAACTAAATAAAAGCCATAAAAGGCTACAAACTGGCTTGTTTTGACTAGCTTCACTGGAGTTTCTATGGGTGTAAACGGTCTTTTTGCCATCCATCATGGCGAAGGGGGCGGTCACATGAGTGGCGTGACGTCACGTGCAAAGGGTCAATAAGGGAGCAGCTTCCTGGAGGAGCAGTCACTACTCCGAGCCCCTCCCAGATATCAGAGCTTCTCAGCTAATAGCAGCCTGAGAGGAGTGGGGCTGGCGTGACCAGCTAGTTTGTTTTCTTAAAGCAACACGTAATACGTTTCCTGCTTCTCCCTCCTACTGGTTGAAAGCAGAATTACAACTTTCGTAAACAACCTTGCCGTAGCTAGCACTAACAACGCGCTAACGCTAACATGAGCTACCTGATACTAAATAAGCCACAAAGTAAAAAGATCCTCACTGTTGAAGCCTCTAGTTACCTCATGAACATGCAAATGTAAAATATTATTACTTACAAGTCCAGTAGCAACAAAGCCAGGTCACTATAAGTGAAGTCAGTGATTTTGTAGCCTCCTTTAGCTTCCTCAAACCAGTGTAGGCTGCACTGATGTTCACTCTGGTTTTAGCTCTTTGATCACCTCCAAATAAATTACTTTCTTAATTTTACTGGCAGGCTTCGCAAAATTCTTATACTTCTTTTTGTGCTTTTTGTTGATGGTCAACGCACTGAAAAAGCTCATTGCTAGCCTTTATATGAGCTTACGGCACCGTAAACAGCCATTGCCGTAAAGCAGGATGGAGACCTCCCACTAGTGTTCCTACCAAAACCACAAAACTTCTAAGTGCAGTTTCTGGTCAGCAGAGGGCTGCTGACTGCTTTGTGAAGTTGCACAGGTTTATGGCTGAAACCAGTTTAAAAGCAATAGCTTAAAGTGCGAAAAACTCTTTAGTGTTGCTTTAAAGTGACAGAGCCCTGAAACGACTCATTCTGGAAGGTACTGAAAATATCAAGAATAAAACTGTTGAAATTGCTTTATGTGAGAGATTTAGTGCAAAGAACTTCATAAACACATTTCACATTAACCATAGAACTATTATAACTTAAGAAAAAGGTCAGTATATGTCCCCTTTAAAAAAAGAAAAAGAAGGAATGTAGTGTTATCAGTGTGGGGGTAGAAAACCAGTGGGTGTAATATTTATTTACTCTGCAGAAACTGTTGGGAGTCTCTCAAACTGAGATAAGACAAAAATGTCAGGAAAGGATGAAGGAGCTGGAGGAACTCAAGACTGCTGTGGATTCACTGAAGGTACATTTCCTTTGTGTCATTTTTCCTTCAAAATAAAACACACAATCGCCCAAGAAAGTGACAAAAAGTGTGTGTTATGCACAGAACTCGGCTCAGAGAGCCATGGTGGAGAGCCAGAAGATGTTTGAGGACATGATCCGCTCCATCGAGAGGATGAGGTCAGAGGTGACCAAGCTGATTGGCATCAACGAGAAGGCTGCTTTCAACCAAGCCGAGACTCTGATCGAGCGGCTGGAGCAGGAGATCGATGAGCTGAAGAAGAAGGAGTCCGGCCTCAAGCAGCTGTACAGCACCGAAGACCATATCCACTTTCTGCAGGTAAGACACGCCCCCACAGTAGTCCTGGGTTATCCCCAAATAATCACACGGGATATTTAAAACTATTCATCCTCCCATCAGAACTTCAACTACCTCTGCACCCCCACTGATGATGGCTTCATACCCAAAGTGACAGTTAACCCCGACTTCTCCTTCGGAGCGGTCAGGAAGGCCGTGGCAGAGATTAAGGAGCGCCTGGAGGAGTTTGGCAGGGAGGAGCTGCTTAAAATTTCCAAGACAGGTCAGACATGAGCAACAGATCAAAGACTTGAGGCTATAAAGAGATTTAGTGAACAGGAATGTGTTCTGCTTCTCAGTGAACGAGGTTCCGGTCTACACTACAGAGAGCAGAACTCTGGAACGAAGGAGCAGAGGTGAGACGGGTTCATTATTCTTTAGGTTGATGATGTCATCCCTGTGATCTATGACAGGCACCAAGCAGTTGCTACATAGTTCATGCAAAAGCTTTAAACCACACCTCATTTGTCTTTAAGTTGCTCCCATGCAGCCGGGCGTTATTCATCAGCAGTTATTCAGGTTTTTCTGACGTTTTTCTTTGGACTTACTCATTTTCAGTCCAGTACATAAATATTTTCAGAGGAATTAACATGACAGGCTGAGGACAAAGGACGTTTCAGGCCTAAAAAATGAAATAATAAAATAAAGTGTCTGAAAGTCTCAAGAGATGCATCGTTCTTCATCACCGGCGTCCTTCCTATGAAAAGTTTTCAGCTAATAGCTCTTTAAGAATCACCTTGTTGGAGCCAAAATCCTATCTTCTGTAGGAACACAGGTCGATTTTAGGAGCCTTTTTTATGTCTGAATGGTTCAAATGTCAGAGCCAGGTGTCATGGACTGGACTGAAAATTTATTTGAAAAGTCAAAATCTAAAGAAAATTGTTGAAAATCTAAAATTCTTGTTCAAAAACACCTAAAAAGCTTAAAAGAAATGTTTGTTTTCTTGGAAGCAAAATATTTAACCCTCCCACTGTCCTAATGGGTGTGAACCCGTGAGGAAAGTTGCTCATTGAGCAGGGTTGATGGTTTATCCCTTGGGTCCACATGGCAGGGGTGAGGAGTGAGCACCACCTGACCCCTGCCACGTGGACCTCAAGGGATAAACCATCAATCCTGCTCAATGGTCAACTTCCTTCGCGGGGTCACCCATAAAGACAGTGGGACGGTTAAAAACTGATGATTTAAGAATTTTATGCATGAAAATAGCCACATCAGTTGTCACATTAAAGGCATTTCTGTGACCCTGTGCTGCTTGTGTGCAGGCAAAGAAATGACATCGATGGTGGTGGACAACACACCGCCCCCAGAGCCAAAGACCAGAGCAGAATTTCTCAAACGTAAGTACGCGTTAGAGCCTTTCACAAATAAGTGTTTCAATTCAACATCTTTATCAACAGATAATGAACAATTAACATGCAACCTGCTGCAGAAAGGTCAATGAGCAGCCTCAGTTTGGAGAAACAGAGATCACTTCTGGCTGGATGGAGACACAATACGGCCAGTCTCAAAGGCCTCGTAGCAGTTTGTGCAAACATTAAGTTAATAACGTTTATGGTGCCACACATTTCACGTTTGTTCAGGCAGAATGTGCTACAGTAGCTAGCTCTGTAGCTAATTATCATTTATTTAGTTGTTTGTGTAAATATAGTTTTAAAATTAGGATTTTTTTTGTAAAGATGGCAAAAAGACTTCGAAATAATCTTTTTCTCTCCAAACTGAGGTTGTTCGGCTATTTGGAACAGCTAAAGTTCTGACTGATTCTTCTCTCACTGCTGCATCTTTACATAGATTTCTGAAAAACAGAAAATCATTGTTTGAATCACACAATATCAACATTAAAATGAATAAACATAAAAAAATGAAAAGAATACTTAAAACCAGCTCATCTAACCTAGACCAGGATATTAAGGTTGTATTAAATTATCTTCTCTCAGACTTCTGCCAGCTGAAACTGGACCCCAGCACAGCCTACAAAGAGCTCTTCATCTCTGATAACTACAGAAAAGTCATCCGCACCAGGGACCTGCAGCCCTACGGGGACAACCCGGAGAGGTTCGACAGCTTTGCCCAGGTGCTTTGCAGGGAGGCGCTGTCCGGAGGCCGCTTCTACTGGGAGATCGAGTGGAGTGGGGAGTTCTCCATTGGAGTGGCCTACAAGGGCATCAGCCGAAAGGGCAAAGGCTCGCTGTGCCTGCTGGGCTACAACGACAAATCCTGGAGCCTCCTGTGTTCCGACTCAGGTTACTCCGCCTGGCACAACCGGGTGGACAAACCCGTCAGCGGCCCCCACTCCTCCAGGATAGGTGTGTACCTGGACCACACGGCAGGCGTGCTGGCCTTCTACAGCATCGGCAGCTCCATGACCCTCCTGCACAGGTTCATCACCACATTCGTGGAGCCCGTCTATCCAGGTTTTGGAGTCGGAACCTCCGTCAAGATCTGCAACCTCAAGTGAACTCTATTGGAGACGTCTTCAAAAAAATGTTTATTTTTACATTATATATTTGCTACAATCTTAAAAATTAAATGTTTTTTAATGGAGGAATTTTGAGTTAAAAAAATAAACTCCACACACTGTATTATACTTTTGCACTGAGCTGTCAAACCATGGCTTCCTAGGACATTATTAATGACTCAATAATCACACAAGTCCATTATCCTCTATTACCACATGCAAGTGTCACTATTAAAGGATGAATGTGGAAATGTTTCTATTAACATTCACACCTCAACCAGCTTGAGCTATTTAACCTAAAATCAGCATAATGTGTATAGACTTGTAGATTTACAACATATTAGACCATTATATTTCACATATTTGAAATGGTTAAGTTTATTAAACGTATTAGTTTCAATGAAGAGTATTTTGTCATTTCATTTTGCCATCTATTCCCATATTTGACATCAGTTTTTCCAATTGAATTTTTTATTTAATTTTTCCATGTTTCTGTCATAAACAACAGAATGTAATTTGCACTTGTTTTGTAACAAGATAGTTCTGAATAAAGAGCTGAACGCATGTTGTGTTTGTCACTAAATGACAAACAGAAAAAACTGAATTTTACATCTGAACAGAACAGTGACTGAAGCTTGTAGACCTGGATGAGTACTTGGAGCTCCCCCTGCTGGCTAAAACCAGGAAGTGAACTAAAATGAAATTATGAACTTGGGTCTTAGATCGCATTTGAATGCATGCAGCAAGTATAAAAACAACAGTGAGTTCAAAAACAAACAATAGATATCTGTTTATTGGTTCCAAGGATTCTCACAGGAAGTTAAGCATACAACGCTCAAAGGGAAAACAGTCCAGAAATCAGACATCGTAGCCAACAATGCCACCCTTGCCAATGCATTCTCCAATGTAGAACCACATCAGCACTTCAGTGGCCACCAGCCCGTTCCTCACAGCGTCCTGGAATGACAAAAAGATTTGCTTGTTGCTCGTCTAAACTTTGATAGCATTAAACAAGTTTTTTGTAAATAGCGTTTGCGACTTTGTGTCTTTTTAAAGGCCCTGTCCACACGTAGCCGGGGATCTGCCAAAACGTAGGTATTTGTCTACATTTTGGCCTGTCAGCCACACGAAAACTGAGTTTTTTCACACGAAAACTGATCTTTAAAAACTCCGGCCAAAGTGAAGATCTGCGTTTTCTCCGTTTTGGGTGTCTGCGTGTGGACGGACAAAACCAGAGTTTTAAGGTCCGCAACGTCACTTTCCACGACAAAAAAATGCTGACATCACGTGTGCGACCTGTGTTTACACTAGCCGACAGCATGGATGCCCTCAGAGCTGCGCTCGCTTTAACACTTGTCCAAGCGCTTTTTGCTTGTTTGTTTTTGCAAGCGGAATTACTGCTCCTTGCGGAAGACCACAGACGAAGGACGAGGTTAAGAACGGGGGAAGTACTGCCGCCTACAGGTCTGGCATGTCCTGAACAACGCATTTATTCGGGTACGTGTGGACAGAGTTTTTTTTTTTTAAACGAGGTGGTGTGGATGCAATTTTTTGGAGGGGCGGATATTCGTTTTTAAAAAACCCGGCTACGTGTGGACTAGACCTAAATTAAGTTTTTTCCAGTCTTAAAAAGAAAAACATGTTTAAATTTTCAATGTAGAGACATTATCCCTCCTATTTGTCCTGAGTCAACATGGGCCCTCCTGCTAGCCGGACATGCATGTAACACCTCTCGAGAGTCATCCAGGGGGCACCTTCAATGAACCCACCTCAGCAGGCTACCCTTGACATGGAGTAGCAACTCTACTCCGTCTTCTGAATGTCCGAGCTCTTCACCCCATTTCTGAGGCTGAACCCATACGTTCAACAGAGGAAGCTAATTTAGGACTCTTTGTATTCATGGTCTTGTTCATTTGGCCATTACTTAAAGCTCATGACCAGAGGTGAAGAAGACTTAAAACTACCTGATACACTTGCTTTTTGCTTTCTGTTTTAGCTCCCTTTTCACCACAACTGACCATCCGCATCACTGCAGATGGTGCTTCGATCTCCCTGCTGATCTCCTCTATCCTCCTCTCACTCATGAACAAGACCCAGAGAAACTAACTCCATCACTGGAGGTTGGACCTCGACCCTGACCCGGAGTAGGCAATCCATAATTTTCTGGTCAAGACCCTTTGGCATCTCAGAAAAAACTCCCCAACCAAACCACACAATGTCTGGTATATGGCTTTTTTTATATATAAAAATAAAATTATTATAAAGCATCTAAATATTCAAGTAGGACAAAGATTATGCCTATCGTTTGCTTTTAACTAATTTAATATTAACATTTCTCATTTGACAGATAAATGCCAATCAAGTAGATGAATGATTTGATCTCAGCATCCACCACTCATGTTATCAGTCATGTAAAATGCAACAAAATACTGAAGATACACTGAAATTGTATTTATCATCCAAAGACTCGTGATGTGTAAAAGCGATATAACAGTTTAGAATTACTGGAATATTCGTGATATAAATTTGCCTTTAGTTGAAGAGATGAAAGAGTAATAAATGTAATGTGTCTGCTGCACACCTTCACGGTGGTCTGAGCGAGGCGTCCGCTCTGGAAGCTCTTGATGAGGTTTTTTGCTCCCTCGATGGCCTTCGGGATCTCGGCAGGTGTAGGGGGGACGAGCTCCACACGAGCATAATACCAAAACGTTGATAGTCGAGGTTTGGAATATGTGACAGCGGCTGTGAGAAAAGATTCAATTAATTTAAACGAATAGCTCAAAACTGCGGCATTCTTAACACACCGCTAAGTAGCGTTAGCCAATTAGCTACGCGTCTAATGCTCCAGCTAAACAATTCAAATTTTGGTGCTGACAAATTCAAAATAATCAACATAATGAACCGAACATGAAACATAAAGCATAAAGAGACGCACACACTAGATAAAACTGTTAAATCTCGCTCCATTTCATTATGTTAAAGGCTAGGTGAAGCTAGCAGCGTCGGCCTGTTCGCGTCTTGTAAATTGAAACGGAACAGCCTAGATTTCTTCTATCAGTACGCACAGAAATGCTAAATAACACACCTCCGATTAGAGTGGGTACTTTAGCGACCAGTTTCTGCACTGCTTGTGCCATGTTGGAACGTTTGTTGATGCTAACGCTCCCCCGATTCGGCTAGTCGACTGAATGTCACCTCCAGCTGAAGGGCCAGCAGCGGGCGGCTTGAGCTGACTACACAAATGCCTGTACACAAATCAGAAACACGGGGTGCGCGACTAGAAAATAATATTGAAACTATTTATACGTTTAATTCCCAGTGAAAAGCTTATTTGTTTATTTATGCAAATAAATCCAGTGTCTTGTTGTGAGACTTTACATAATGGAAAAAACACTCACTGGCCACTTAATTGTGTACACCTGTCCAACTGCAACTAATCAGCCAATCACATGGTAGGTAGCAAATCAATGCATGCCATTTAGGCATGTTGAGATCGTCAAGACTATCCGCTGCAGTTTAAACCAAGCTTCAGAATAAATGGCAGATTTTTATGCTAAACATGTAACAAAATTAAACACATGGGTAGAAATTCCATGAAGTGTCAAAGAAGTGAAGGCGATGATCGGGAAACAGATGATGAATGAATGGCATGGAATGTGGGTAAAGGGAGAAAAGGGAAGGCATTTATTTAACATACAGGGAAATGTGGGTAATGAAAATTATAGAAATTGATAATAGAGAACAAATAACAAGGTTAAGGATGGGACACACAGGTTTAAATAGCACTCTTTATTTAATAGGGAAACATCCTACTGGTTTATGTGAATGTGGAAAAGATAGGGAAACGGCAGAGCATGTTTTATGTTATTGTAATAAATATGTGGTATATAGAAAAATGTTAAAAGAAAAATTAAAAGTAAGAGGATGTGGAAAATTGAGTTTAAGGACTTTGTTAAATGGGAATAACAGTATAACTTAGTGTTGGAATTCCTTAGGAAAAGTAGTTTAGTTAAAAGAATATAGATTTATTTATTTATTTATTTATTTATTTATTTATTTATTTATTTATTTATTTTTAGTATTCCTCACTCTGACTCACACTCCTACACAGTAGGTGGCGGTGTCGGTACAGGATCTGCTCGGGTGCATGATCGGCTCGGGGTCTTTGGGGTCTTTAGACTGCCGATGACGTCAAAGTAGTTGATTGGCTGAACATGAAGCTTACGGAAAATACGTTATCACGTTATGATTTTGATTGGTCAGAACAAATTTGCAGTCGTTTTTTTTAACAATCTTTATTGACACATATGCAACATACAAGACGTAACATGTTCGTTTATGTTCCATGGGGGGTAGAAAGGTCGTCCAGTCATTATAAGGCTCAACAGGGTCACATTTATGGTGACATATCCAGGGACATCAGACCGAGTTGTTAACCAATGTTTCTTGGCAGGGGATTTAATCCATCCATCAGCTAGGAGAATGTCATCACAGATGGATTTGCCTAGACGAATGGTGAAGTCTAAGCATGGCGTGGAGAAACAGAAGGGGTCTTTTCCTGTGAGGCGAAGGAGATGCAACCCCTGGGAAATGGATGCGTTAGTTGATGCAGAGAAGTTGGCAGGGCGTGACCAGCGTCTTTGTTGATGTGAGCAGCAGTGTGGGATGGTGCACTTCCGTCCCTAAATAGCTTGGATGGTGAGGGCGTGTAGGAAACATACAGTGTCATTCATCGAGGTGGGGATAGCTGTCATCGTGGGGTTTTCCACTGAATGATGGGGGATCCAGGAGCAAACATAGCAGCCGTTATTAAATCCTAGTCTTTTAGCAGTTAGATTTACCATGTGGAACCAGGTGTTTTGGTGTACTTTGTGGATTTCTATGGGAGCAGGCTTCGCTTGTGTGGTGTGTGCATTCTTCAGAGTCCAGTGGACTGTAGCAAACAGTAGGAGGGCGTTGGAGAGCTTCATGGTGGTGGAGATCCTAACAGCTGAATTAATAGCCTTCCCCTAATGGGAAGTTTGGCTGCTAGGAGTCAGGGATCTTTTACCTGTGTAATCTTCACCGAGCATTGAGACGCAGAGATACTAAAAACCAAAGCCCCTTTGAAGCCAGTCTTCCTTCTGACACGTGTCAATTAATTCAGTTGTTTCTGCAGCTTGCAATGGGAGAGATGAATCCAGGTGGGTCGTTCAGCGATTTTCACAGCAGTGGGAGTGGCCAGCAGAACTTGGAAAGGTTCTTCCCACTTGGGACTGGTCCAGGTTTTCTTTTGATGATTTTGATGGACTCAGTCCCCAAGTTTAGTGGCATGCATTATGTCCTGCAAGACAGGAGAATGGTAAAATGGTAAATGGCCTGTATTTGGTAGCGCCTTCTAGAGTCCTAGAACCCCCCAAGGCGCTTTACAACACAATCAGTCATTCACCCATTCACACACACATTCACACACTGGTGGGGATGTGCTACAATGTAGCCACAGCTGCCCTGGGGCGCACTGACAGAGGCGAGGAGAAGTTAGTTTGTTAATCAAAGGCAGTTTATATGGCCTGCCATAAATAATTTCAAAAGGTGTTAGTTCTAGGTTAGGTGGAGTTATTCTCATGTAAATTGTTACCAAGTCTAAGCGTTCTGGTCAAGGCTAGACATTCAGTCCACTCACCCCCCCCCCCCCCACACACACACACACACACCCCCCACCCCCCTCCATTCCCGTGGAGGCAGGGGTCACCAGTAATTAAATCCAGGCCCCACACACATGTGAGGTCAATATTCAGGAACTGGCAATTACTAGAATGCGTCAACAGGGGGCAGAGTCGTGCAGCACGGTTTGAACCCAAAAATAACACAACCCAGAATTTAGAAAACTACAATAACTCAAATCAAAACAAAAGGACATCATAAAGGTTTACAGTGCCGGCCAAACTTTAATCTTTAATGGCCTTTCAATTCAAACTCAGTGTTCCAAACAACAGCAAACCTCATTATGATCTGTGAATAATCAAAACACAAAAACAACTGGATGAGAAAAGACTGACACAACAAAAGAAAAGAACAGCTTATAAAACCACATAGTTTTAACAAGGAACCCTGATTAATCTATTTCTAACCAGCTTAAAACACTGCATTTGCTTCAAGGTGAACCAAGGCCAAAATAAACAAAAACCAACTACCTTAATACTCCAGGAAACCTGACTAAGCCCTAAAGAACCAAACCAGTAAAATAAAGACATGTATCTAAACCTAACTCCATGTCTACTCAGCAGCAATCAAAACAAACCATCGAAGTAAAAACACTTCTACAAACAACCCTTTAGGACCGATTCATCCGTAACTGTACTACTGACAAGCCGTTATCCAGTTCCCAGGTTATTTGTGTCAAAACAAACAAAAGTAATAAAAACAGAACAAAAGATGGTTGAGGTAGTTGTTTGTTGGTTGATGGAGACCATGACTGTACTGTGTTGTGTTGTATTCCAGCTCCGAAACAAAAGTGTAAAAATATATATAAACAATGGAATACATAGAAAAGAAATCAACTTAAATCTTAAAGGAGCAGAATGGGAAATAGGCCTCACAATGTCTGCTCACATCCTCCAAAGGAAATAAAGATTAAAAGATTAAAACAATCCCAGCTATATGTATATACCAAACGCATGTTTCTCTCTCTCAGCAGATCTGTTGGGCTTTAATCTAGGGAATTTTAGGTTTAGGAAGTTCTCATCAAGCATCTTAGAACTGTGATGTCATTTCATCACCTGGCAATATTTATAGAGTTTTCTTTTTTTTGTACCTAAATTCATGTTATTAAAACCATAAAAACTGTATTAAAATTGCCTTAAAACAGAATCTGTGTGTTTGAACCAACAGCTCAAAGTCACCCAAAAGAAATTTACCAACAAATGCAGATTTTATTCACTAAAGTTAACTTCTTGCAGAAATAGAAAGCAGCAGATGAACATGGGATCAACAGTGTATGAAGGCAGGATTTTCCCTGAGTGTCACCAGCTCTGCTCAAACCAGAGTCACCAGCTCTGCTCAAACCAGATGTAGCAACTCCAGTCAGATTCTTTTACTAATAACTCAAGTTTGTCTTTATTTTACATTTAAACTTTTTTTCCCCTTTTCATTTATTTCCTTGAGTTTGACAAAAGGGACTTTTCAAAATTAACTCCACTTAGGTTCCACTTTCCCTGAAGCTTACAGTTATTGCATTTTTACTAGAAGGCTGTTTTTCTACAAATCTGTTGAATGAGAAAATATTTGCAACCTTCAACATCGGGTTTGAATAATTTTTGTCTCTGGTTTTAGTATTTAACCCTTCATGAGGATTTCCTTGTTTGAAAAGTGCATACTCATTGTGGCATACAAACCGTCCGATCTTCACTTTTTCTGAAATTCCTGCAAATTTCTTGGGTAGTTTTTCTTGGTGGAGGGTTTGTTTGGAAACTTTTGGCTTCTTATTTCTAAAGTGATTCCATTGGAGTTCTGTACATTTCTAACTAGCTGTCAATATATTTGAAATGATTTGTTTTTCCCTTAAACACCTGACTGAAACTTTTCTACAGCAGTTTTGACTCCAAACCCCAGCATCAGTAACACTCACATCACCCCTGCCATCATCCCCCCACCCCCCTAACAGGTGAGGAGAAAAATTAGGCACTTGGAGAGGTGGACCTGACAGCATAAACCCCAGACTGCACTGACATGTTCATCCTGAGCCTCCATCTGGAGAAGTTCCCTATCCTGTGGAAGACCTGTGTGGTTCTAGTTCCCAAAATATCCCATGCCAGGGACCCAGACCTGTCACCGTGCCCTCCAACCTGATCGCCTACACTCTGTGGTGAGCTCATTAATGGAAACACTGCCGTTTGTATACAAGGCAGACATGGGGGTGGAGGATGTTGTCATTTGGGGGCAACAGCAGCTCAGGAGGTAGAGCAGGTTGCCTCATGATTCGAGGGTCATGGGTTCAATTCTAGCTCCCGTCAGGATTTATTCTGCTGTTGTGTCCTTGGGCAAGACACTTCACCCAACTTGTCTGTGTTGGTGGCACCCGACGGCACCAAATGGCAGCCTCACCTCTGTCAGACCGCCCAAGGGCGGCTGTGGCTACAAAGTAGCTTACCATTACTAGCAGTGTGTGACTGTGAGAGTGCATGAAAGCATCTTTGAGTGTCCTAAAATGTGCTATATAAGCTCGATGAAGTTCGATGTATTTACCTGGAGCACCAGGTCCTGA